TCAGTAGAAAAAATCGCACTGATATACTTTCCAAAACTAACAAACGCGTAAATTTATTTTCGAAACTCTTCATGATTGAAATCCGTCTTTTGTTGTCGCCATAAAAAATCTTTTGAAAAATGTGAGATGGAAATTAATGTGGCTGCACATTTCTGGATGAAATGTGTCAAAAACACTGGAAAAGAGGGAGATGTTTATGAGAACAGATGATGATGATGGACTTTTGATGCACTTCTGACAAAGCCTTGAAAAATATCCCAAACTAAACGTGGATGAGGGCCATCACAAAATTGAAAAATGAAAAATATGATTCATGTACAGTAATTCGTGTTGGTACTCACAGTCAAAGATTATAGATGACCCCTCGTCAAATAATTTTTGATTTCATCTCGAATGCACATTTTTGTAACTGACGCTTGTCTTCTTTGATTTACTGCAAATTTTGGTTTAAAAATTCAACCACCAGGTGTCACGCGCATGTGATAAAAATCCCTTGTCGACTTGCGGGAAAACCCTCGTGTGTCACGTGTTCACATGTCGCGCATTCGTATCAATTTCCTGTTCTTTAATCGTCATAATTATCAAATCGTTTCCTGTTTTTCAACAGCCGCGTGAAAAAAAAATGTTATCTCGGCTTAATTTTATTTTTCATATCTATATTTTTTTTTTTTACTCGCGTCGGTTGCTGGTTGTCGCCGTCGTCGTCGTGGTTCGTTTCATAGCATTGCACGGACTCGTATATACGGACTATTGCTTCATTTCATAAGCTACCAAAAATTTCTTTCCTTCTATCTTTGCTTAAAGACACATCCGAAAGCAGATCGCTGCTGTCTTTGAGCTTGATTTTTTTTTCGGTTTTCGGGGCGCCCTTGAGCTCAAAAGGCGGCGGTGGCGGTCGACTCTTCGCTCAGTTCGCCGCCGCGCTCGCTTCTGCTTGGACCGTTTGAAAAGGCAGTTGTTCAAGTTCCAAAGTACAAAAGGTTTGAAAAGACTATTTTTAAAACGTGATAAATGTGTGACAGGTAAGTGGAATTAAACGTTTTTTTTTTCTGAGACTGATATTGAGAAGTTGTGCTGCAGAAATGCTTTGTCAAGTTTGACGGCGAAACTGTGGTAAGTATAAATTAAGTTCAGATGAACGGGGAATTTCAAAGCCTCGCTTAATGACTACCCTGACCATTTTATGAAAAAAATTAAGCCTAAATGTATTCAGCAAAATTATAAATTTACACTTTGAAAAATGCAAGCGTTTCAGTCTTTTTCTCTATCAGTTGGAAGGTTTTTTCTGTCTCACATAATATCTAATATTTTTTAGTCGAAAAATTAAGGGCTACGACTGATGATCATTCAAGTCATTGAAGAATTTACAAAGAAAGATTGTATGATGTTGTTAAAATGAGTGAATAATATTCTGGACTTCATCTTTTTCTCACAATTAAATATCACTTAAATACGTGATCTTGAATTATAACATTGAGAAATATGGTGCTTTAATTTACTGTATAGTGACGGAATATGAAAGACGGGGTAATGAACTCAAGGATAAACTTTAGAAGTTTTCTGATTTATCCATCATACAGCAAAGATAAAGCTTTCAAATACAATCGAAAAAATATTTTATCTTTGGAAATATTTACGTCGATCGGTAAATTATGTCATTCAGGCGAAACTGAAGGAAAATAGCTTCGGAGAATATTCATTAACCTTTATAAGCTCGTGCAACCGTCTTCAAGGAATTCTTAACCTTTATTAATCGTTATCTTACGAAAACCTTACGAAAGTATTTAAAGTTATTTGATTGAAATATGGCGATAATTCCTCGCGTGATTCCTCTTGAAGAATTCGAGGAAATTCTACCGGGAAATGAAGGCCTTCCGAAAGCTACAAATTTGAGACATCTCAAGTTCCGGGGAAATTCTAAAAACTTCGCATTCGGTTTGATCAATTCCCCTGGGGTGAATTATTGTTCTCTGAAACGGTATGAGACTTCAAGGAACCATTTGCCAATAAAAGATAACGAGTCCACGGGAATAGTGGAAAAATCAGCGGAAGAACTTGAGAAGATTGAGCAGAAAAATTCTATCCCTGTCACCTGTGTGCCGATTGACGTCGATTTGCAGAATCTCCGTATCACCAATAATCAAGTGTTCGAGGATCTCAATGGAACCCAAGGAGTCGCTTAATCTCTTGGCCTTTTTTTTTTGTTACACCAAGCAAGAAAAATCACTGCAATCAATTTTTCCAGTATCTCGTAATTGAATGCAAATATGACTGCCCCAAAGTTCGAAGACCTGTTATTCACCTTTACGACGAGAAACTTGTTTCATTGCAGCGGCTTTTTTGAGTCAGTGAACTGGTTGAAGGACTTTCCACCTCGTTTTGAACGCATGTAAGAACTTTTCAAGTACTGTACTGAAGCATGTCATGAAGTACCCTTCATCATATTGACTGAAGTGACTGACTCGTTAGCAAAATAATAGTCGCCTTGGCATCAGGTGAAAATTCTAAATTCTTATACAGTGGGAGATCTGACGATTTTTTCGTCCGCGTCCCTTATTCAAGAAACCTGTTTCGAACTAATTTTGGGTTTGCCCAAATACTTATGAATTTATTCCGCAGTTATTCAACAAATTAACGTTTGCAACAATGAGTTGGTAACAATTGGTTTTCGCCTTTCATTTTTTATGTCTAATATTGAATATTGAAAGGATTCTTTCGTAAGATATTTTTTAAAAGTCGGAATAATACTCAGTTGGAATTGCTCTTTTAAATGTGAATTATACCCTTTTCTGTCTAGTTTATTAACTTAATTTGGGAACGTGTTGAGTACATTATTGTCTATGTGCTGACAAAATTTCTTCGATTTGTAATTGTACTCTTCGTCGTTTAAAAAATGGTAAATCAACTGTAAACTCTGGTAATTATTTTCAATATCGGATCTTATGACCATGCGAGAGAACATTTTAATCCTAGTTAGTGACCCGAGCAGCCATTTTCCCTTGACGTAAAAATTCTGAAAATTTTATTATATTAAAATAATAAGCCATAGGCTATTGCTTCATTTATTGTTTCCAAATTCGATGCCAAAGATGACCCAGTTTGATTTTATTTTGACACGCATTGCGATTCCTCTTGGTTTCTCATCTATGCATGGATTGCGAAAACGTTTCAGTACAGAAATATATTCCTTCTAAAAGCAATTTCCCCGGGACGACTCGAAAAAACTTCTTTATGAAAAATATTAGTTCAGAGGAGCTGCTGCTCGAGTACTAATGGAAAAGTGTGCCAGGGCCAAAGATTAAAATTTTGTTATGGCGAATATCGCATTAAAAATTGTTTTTGAATCGATTCCCCAGAATTTAAAATTATGTTGATTAACTCTCTCGAGATCTGCTTGTTTTTTTTTCAGCATACAGCAAGCGCGATGATAAATTTTAATCTGGTCCGTGTGGAGCAAAAGTTATTCATGAAAGTACCAAAGATATTCTTTGAGCTTCGAACAATCGTCCGAAGAACTTTTAATTATGCACCTTACAGTGATACATTTGCATTCATCACACCGCTGCACTAAATTTTCGTTAATCAAAAGCTTTTTTTTAATATGAAACAGCCTGATAATTGCTACTTATTTGGTGTATGTGGAGCATTAGCTTTTTTTTGTTGCGGTTCGATCACATTTGGAAGGTATGCGAGGAGTTTTCGGACCAACCACGAACAGTATTAATTTTTTTATCGTACCAGTATCATAAATAAATATACACGTATATTTTTTGCGTGTTTCCCTCCGCCACGGGCTAGTAAAAGAAAAAAGGCGGCTGACGCAATCGCATTCTCATAGGGAGGCGGGGGAACCCCAGAAAGTCGTCGAACCCTCGAGAGAAGCCCAAGGGCGACACTCTTGTATATCTGTATGTACGAACCGCTCGTCGCGAGTGTCGGCTACAAGGAGGTGAGGTCAAACGCGTGTTCGTCTTTTTCGAGGTCACGTTTCGCCGCTCGCCATGACCTCGTTCGCGCCTTGGCTACAGAAACCGTCGAGGGGTTGCGACACGGGTTACCTCATTCTCTTCTCTTCTCTTCCCCCCTCCCCTCACCCGACGCCTGCTTTTAATCGACCCAAAAAAAAAATATGTGACGAATAAAATTGAAGCGAGTAAGTACCACACGAAATAAAACGATGGTTGCTGGCTGATTCATCGGAAGACAGTCGGGATCGAATTTATTTTTGTCCTGTACCAGCTTTTCTTCAATACAGTCTTCAAAATAAATTTTTAAATTTTCAATCTGTTGTGTCCATAGCCAAGACGAATTGTAAATGTTCGGGTAGATGTCACAGCCTGTCCGATTTTCCACTGAAAATATTTCAGAATCTAGTTTCTTCCTCTCGAGGCTTCGTATGAAGAAATCTTTTAATAAGAATATATTCGAATATTGCAAAATTATTTCATAAATTATGCAAATTAACTAATTTTGGTGCAAAGCATCACAGGGGATTGTATATCAGAAATATATTTTAAATAATACGGTGCTTTTAATAAATGTGTGACAAATGCAATGGATTTACCTCCTTTGTCCACATCCAAGATGAATTTCAAGTGTGTGGGTAGATGTCACCGCCTGTCCGATTTCCCACTGAATATTGCTCAAAATGTATTTCTATATGTTCTTTCAAGGCTTCATAAAGAGCCTCCACGATATCAATAAGGGGTATTATTGGAAATGTATCATTTGCATGTTTGGAAATCAGCGATAAGTGATGCTTCGAGGACATAAAAAACTAATTTAAATTCGAACGATCAAAGCTGATATTCTGGTGTAGCAAAGACATTTTGAATTTTCGGATCGCATTTAAGCCCTGTCATCAAGTAATGGCTTGAAAGGTCGATTTTATGCGTATTTTTCAGATTCCTGCTAATATTTTGAGGCTTTTTGAGAAGCATATCTCGCGTTGCCGTCCAAATAAAATTTGAAGAAAAATAGTCGAAAGTTCGAAAAAAAAGATGGAAAAGTCCAAGAGCTCGCTTTCCTTTGCGTCTTCAACTTCATTGTCGCCCGAGGCTGAAATGGAGAATGCAATTTGGCAAGAAAAATACCTCGTGGAAGACGAATACGTGTGGACTCTGCCTGAGGATTTGAAAGAAGTTGCCAGACTGGAAGTTGGCGAAACTGAAGAAGTTCGCAATGAGGGTCTGGCTTACATGCGCGAATTCATCAGGGAGGACTCGAGGCTCACTTACTGCAGACGAGGTCAGTGCAAATTTCCAATTTTTTGGCATAAAATTATGCTGGGAATTTAGTTGTAACCCTTCTGCTTTTTTTAAACGATAAAATTCAGAAATGTTTTAATTTTACTCGTCCGGACCTGGTTTTTTGGGGGCGTTTGGCAACAGGAATTTCGAAAATTTCTCTAGAGAATTTTTTGCATAATGAAGTCCACTGCGATCATCAGCTGATATTTTTGAAAATTACCTCTTTTCGGTCATAGACCAAAAAAAATTGTAATGTAAGCTTATGAATAAAATGAGATAAACAAGAAAATATTCGATTTTCTCAAGCAAGCGGGTTCTGTTTTCACTTATATATGATGAAAAATTGCTCTTCAAGTTCTATTGGAGCTGAAAATTTCGCAATTCCTTCCAAATTCACAAAATGACCGCAAGGTATAATTTTTTCCTTCGTTCTCACCGAAGTGACTCATCAATATAATCATCTCCTCGTGCTTAAAATTGTATTGCATAACACGATTTTTTCGAAATATGCATTCTTATACTTTTCAGAAATCTTCGCGAGTTTCTTATTCTTTTTAGAACGCAGCAGGTTTCTGTGAAATCACTAACTCGAGCGTCGATTGCAAAAATGCACCCAACCTAAGATGAATTTTGAGTTATACGAATTTTTTATCGGAACTTTTCATAATAAGAGGAAGAAAAGTTGTAATTTCATGAAGCATTAAGAGCTTGAAGTGGTTTTTGCCGACGCAATTCAATTGGTGTCTGATCCAAATGATGTTCAAGGGAAACAAACAAAAATTATTTCTAAGATTGAAAATTACGACATCATTATTTAATATTGGATATCTGATTTTATCGCGCCCGACTTTCGATTCATGAAAAAAAACAGTCAGCAAGATTTCTGAATTTGAGCTACTGATGGCTCACTTGAATAGCTTTATTTATTTTATATTTATGAATAAACAAGGCAATCGAAATATATTTGAATGATCAGTAATACATATATCACTTTAGCTAATTTTCAAATATTCTCGAATGCTGGAAACGGGCTTGATTAAAAGGTTATTTTCATCATCCGGACAAAGACACAAAGGAAGTAATCAGAGTTCCTCGCAAATCAAGTATACGATAGAAAGATTAAGACTTTGCAGTAATTTGAGAAGCAAACAAAGAAACAGTTGGGTAAACGGATTTGGCAAAAACGATTCTTGCAAGTTGAAGTTCAGAACAGCAGCTGGTAAAGGAACCATTATTCTTCTCTCATGGGTATACTCATTATTATTGCAACCATCAGAAGAACTTGCCAAGTACAGTACTCTTTTTCTTCTTTGTCTCAGCTGTTGCCTTATTGTGGACGAGAACTTGAGCAATGCTTGACACGCATTCGGTGGCAAGTAGCTTTTAGAGTTTCGTTTTTCCAAAGGTATCTTTTTGGAGCTCCGGGCGAAAAATGTTGCGCAAAAAGAAAAAAAAAAAGATTTGCGATTGTGCAACGCCGGCCGACAATGAGTGATCGCTTAAGATCTTGAAAAATAATAAGGTTCACAAAATTTGAGGATTCTGTGCTGATGTTATTTGTGAATAAAACAATTAATACTTTCCTAGAAAATATAGGAAGACAACATTGTCAAAAGAAACCATTTTGGCACGATCTTTAAAAAAAACGTTTGGCCCCTGACAGAGGAAAAATAAAGTTTCTTGGCCGCTTTTTTAACGGAAACTTGAAATTGACGCTTGAAAATATCAATCAATGCGCATAAAGTTTGCAAATAAACATTTAAATCATGAAATAACTCTTCTATCTCGGTATTTTTGAAAGACAGATGCTCAAATCAGGGGAATTTTTTCGAGTAAATCACTTTCAAGGGAATGTCTGAAAATTTATTTGCTAGTTTTGAGGAATATTGGTTTAAAAATGCGTAACTTACGACAAATAAGTTATTATTCCAAATAAATCCAAATGCGTTTCCCTAATATTAAAGGGGGATATTTTATTTATTTTTTTTAAATTTGATGTTTAAATTGTCTTATAAAATTTATACATTTGGTCAGGTTAAAAATTTAGTTATGGGGCAGATTCCAGTTCACTTGAACCTGAGATAACCATCGATTGTGAAACGAAAGTAGTCGAACTTGAAACATGTGGGTTTGTTTTTGATAACGAACAGGTTTAAAAACCCCTGATGTTGATTCGTTCATCAAAACCAGCTTCGTAAATAGTGTCTGGTTTTATACTTCTTTGACAAAGAATTGCCCTAGAAACGATATAGAGTAGACCAATTAACTGTATCCAAGGTCGGGAATTCCCAGACTGACCCATAAAAGGTCACAAAGTACCTAATTGACGACCGTCCGTGAACCAAGAAGCTATACATAACGGTTTTTAGTTGCTGGGCAAAATAACTCCATAAATATGTTGTTGCTGCGAAGACAAACACCGTTTCGACACCTGCAATATTTTGCAATGATATTTTAACAAGAGAATATTTCATAAGCTCTTGGCACCGCTGCTAAAATTAATGACCTGATATCGATTTTAGATATCGATGCGCCAAATGTTTTTGGCGCAAAACATTTGAGGCTACCTTCAAATCAACAGCTTAATTTGGTGATTGAAAAAAGGTTTTCTTTATTTCTGAGAATTTTGTTCCTAAGCGAATATTTTTAATCACTGCAAATAAAATCATCATATTATGTAAAGCCAGTTCTGTATTTTTTTAATCCTACGAAAATGAACTTCAATTTCGTTCAATGCAAGTTTTCAGCATTTAGCTTTGAATACTGTGCAAATAAACTGAATTTTGTATCTTCTGAAAAACTAGTACAAAATTTTCTGAAAAATCGAGCAGCTGGGGATGAATTTCATTCAAGGAAAACCTGCTTTATTAGAAAATCACGAGCGAAATTATAGATGGTCATTATGGTTTTATTTCATGAAATTTGCGAAAAATGCTGCGCATGCTGAATTTCATCAATTAAAAACTCCGTGTCGTAATTTAAATTTTCTTGTGATTTATTTGACAGATTTCTGCGCGTGTCAGATGGTAAAAGGGATTTTTAAAATTCATTTTATCAATTTTTTTTTTCGAAAATCTCGAGATAGTTTTTTAAAGAAGTACAGTATCCGATTTGCAAAGCTTTCTGAATTTATGCATTTTTCAACTTTAAAGTTTAGTATATTTTAAAAAATTCAAAGTTCCATGGGCTGCTGCAAGAAATAGGTCAAAAATCTCGCTCGGAATGTTGGACAGAAACTGCGTCAATAAAATTCCACCAACCTTTTTGAATATTTTAAAAAATCATTTTAATCGCTCTTGAATTTATTTATGTGGTTCTTTCTGTCTTTCTTTCTTTCGTTTTTCCTCTGGCTCTTTCTCTGTCTTACTTTCCCTCAGTAACAAAGGTGGGGGGAAATTATGGCTTGAGGGGGACTCATAGTAAAACCATGTTCTTGCGCAACTTTTGGGGTGCGTTTGGAATCGGTGTCAGTCTAGTACTTTTCGGTCGGTGGTCGCCGTTAAAATAAAATGTTCCTCGTTTTTTTTTCCTGTCTCGGTTTGTTGAATGTGGGTTGAACGATGAACGAGATTTTTGGGGTGCGTTTGGAATCGGTGTCAGTCTAGTACTTTTCGGTCGGTGGTCGCCGTTAAAATAAAATGTTCCTCGCTTTTTTTTCTGTCTCGGTTTGTTGAATGTGGGTTGAACGATGAACGAGATGTCATTTTCTCATGTATGAAGGCAATTGAAAGTGCACTTTTTTCTTGCGAAAAATTAAACGGTTCTGAAAGAAGCAGCCCAATTTCAGGTTTTCATCACCGCACTTCATTCGCTACGCGTGATGTTGAGCAAGTCCTTGGATTTCTTGTGGAAATTCGGTGATGGAGATATATTTGTGTACCTTTTGATCACTTTTCGGATTCCGAAAGTTATCTGTAACATAAATAAAGGGATACCAGTTCGTTCGCTGATTATACTAAACTTACGATTAAACTGCGCGTTTAAAAATTTTCTTATTTTTTAAAAGAATCAGTTTCTGTTTTTTCCGATAGAAAAGAGCGATTGGTACAGAAAAATTTATTATGCGAAGCTCAGTTTGAATTACAAATTTACCCAATCCTATTTTTTTTTAACATTAGCAGAAGAATGTATTTAAAATGTGTTTTTTTTATTTCTAGGAAATATCCTCACTAAAAGCTCAAATATCAAGATAAACATAATTCGTAAGTTTAATGCGCTACTTTTCCAAAATGCCTGAAGTTGCGAAATAAGCTTCCATTGTTTCAGGTTGAACCTCAAGTGAAGCATGACAAATGGGCTTTTGATTTTTCATAGCCTTGCAGAAATCACGATGCATGACTCCTTGTTTACATTTAAAATACATGGCGGAAAAATACGGATCGATGCTCTGGAAAATTGCCGAATGCGAAGGATAGTTCATAAGTTCAATATTACAGTCTAGCATTTTTTTTATGGAGTCGTATGTTGCATGCATTGATGCGAAAATAAATCTTACAAAATAAAATTCGAATCGTTTGTTGATTGATTCAACTTTGAAATTTAGAGAAACGCAGAAAAATACGTTTTACCATCAGTCAAACTATCTGTGAATTTGCCGGCAATTTTAATTCTACCAGATACGCTTCGATGGATTCAAAAATCGTCAAGACAATTTTTGGAAGATCTGAAAGCCAAGTTCAATTGAAAATACCCTCAATATACAATTTCACATCAGTTTAACCCTTACAATGCGAGTAATTTCAAAATATCTAAATGAAAAAAGGTGGGCGCATTTCAAAACAAAGAAATTCCCCAAAAATGAATCGTGAAGAATGCCCACTATAAGAATTTCTTCATGATTTGGCAAAGTTTGAAAACTTTATTTTTATTGAAGGACTTTTGATGAAACTTTCAGATCATCCCTTGAAGACACGTATCCAAAAACCTTATGTCTGAATATTCAGAAGCCCCTGAAGCATGACTAGCTTAGAAAAAAAGGACACATATTGAGCAACATGATATGCGTGATGTCACTGCTGGACAATAAGAACAATTCGCATAAACTATTTTGCTGATGTTCTTATCCGGATCATCCCGGTGGCATGCATCAACTTTTTCTGCATATACAGTATTTATTTCGCTGCTGTTATAATTTTTTAGTAGCTTGAGCAGAGCTGTGTAAAAAAAAATTACGGGTTTAATGCATGCCACACACGAAAACCAGCGTGTCGGAAATAATTATTTCTTGCCACACCAAGTTTCCACACGAAATACTGTATATAGGCGTGTTTCCTCTTTCAAAATGTATCAAACTTTATCGAATAATTATTTTTGTGTATATTTACCAAAAACAAACGAGAAATTCTCGGCATATGTTTCAACTTTTCGAAAATTAGTGAATTCGAATGGCCCACAACTTGAAATTGGAAAAACCTTTTCACCTATGCGCGAATTATATTTTAAAAATTGCTCGATTACAATAATTTTCAAAATTAAAATAAATATAGCTCATATCATATGGCATTAGTTTCTTCATATATAGAGACCAGCAAGAGACTCATCTTGGTTTCAGACACTCGATTATCTCTGTTGCTAGAAAATATCTCACGCATCGAAACGAAAAGTTTGAATTTTCCCTTCGTTTCAAAGTTTCACAATGAAGGCTTTTCTGGGACTGAATTCCAAAAAAACGCAGAAATTACATTTTAAAATTTAAAAGAATATATATTTTTATGGGAAATTGTGTAATAATTGTGGGGCATTCTCTTCGGAGATTTTCAAGGCTGATGCGAACTTTCTGGGGGATTAACCTTACAAGCACAAAAAATTCCGTTCTCGTCGTCGACAAGCATATCCCACCAGAAAAGCTTTGTTCAAGGAAAACCAAGGAATTTTTTTCAGTATATATTCAACCTCGAATTAATTTCATGACAGAAAAACGCCAAACCAAGGAAAAAAAAAACCGAGATTCAGCGTCTCTCCGAGAAGAATATATAATTCTTCGTGTGCTTCGGGAACTTACATCATCTCAGCTTTCGAAGAAGACGAGAATCCTGTCCAAGTAATTAGGGATTTTTTTTTTCGCAGATGCTAATTTTTTGCTGAGGTTTTTGCGCATGAAGAAATTCAACTTGGAGGCCGCGAAGGAGACGCTGGAGAAATATTTGCGGATGCGAGCTGAGATTCCCGAGTGGTACCAGAACCTTGACATCAATGACCCGGCTCTTAACGATATCGTCTCTTCTGGGTAAAAAAAAAATTATTGCTCGAAATTCCAATTGCAGAAAACAGATGATATATGCCGCGTACATTCTGGATTTAAATTTTCAGCTGCACTATCGTGCTTCCAGAAAGAGACAGTCATGGACGGAAGGTTTTGTTCCATTGCGCAAGTGAGTATAATTTTATTTCACCAAAATTCACGCCCACAATCGTACCTGAGCAACATAATTAATTAAATACAGTAATAAAAAACGTAAATCTAGAAAATCAACACTGGAGATGATTTTAAAAGATCGGTTTCCAATTTAGGTAAATTTATATCTTGAAAGAGAATTTCTAGTCTCCCCACCACAGAGAAGAGTTGTTTTACCACGAGTAGATGTCGCTGGCAGGGATTAAGGTATCGTAATCCAAGACTAAGTCATCAAAATTGCCATCTAGCTTTTTAGGATCCTTTTAGGTTTATTAGTACTGTAGCTGGAAATTATTCAGTTGGTTTTTTTTGAAAATCATAAGTTGTTTTCCTATATTAAGGAATTCCGTTTCAACAAGATGGAAATGTTATTGAATATACCTGATCCAATGAGCATTTCATCCAAGAAAGGAATTTTGAAGCAAGATTAAAACTATAAATGCCTGTAATAAATTTAATTTTCAGCTTTTATGATAACTTTTTTAGTACCTCGATGAACATATTTATTTTCCCTTGTCACCAGGCAGTCAATTTGGTGAACCAACCCATGGGATTTTTCCTCATCTACGAATTTGCGAAGCACGTTCTGAGCGAGAAGATTCGATCTCGTATCAACGTGAGACTTTATTTGTAGAAACAAATAACTGCCAAAAACGCAAAAAAAGTTTGAAATCCTTTTTTTTGAGCTGAGAATAATTCAGAAATAATTGTACCCCTTTTTTTTTATTACTCAAGGTTCAGTAATGTAGCGAAATCTTGATGAATTTCCCAGGATTTCGAGCGTCCTTGTCCCCGATTGACGCGTCAGACATCGTGAAATACTTTTTTCATCTGATTTTCAAGGAATTTAAATTTTTTTATACGTTTCAACAGTTGTACAGATCGGACAAGTCGATGAAAAAGTTGCTGCCCCAGCAATGCATTCCCTTGGAGTACGGAGGACAAGTTTCACTCAAAGAAATGGGACGTAAGTTGGCGACAGAGTATTTCAATTATTCACCTTTTTATTCATTCATTCATTAAACCTTGATTGCTTTCGTTGGAAAACAGCTGTTTCTTGATATGATTCAATTTTCCCAGAGGGTAAGGTCAGTTGCCCAGCGGTTTTTCATTTTACGCGCATTACAGAGGTCGAAGTTTAGGAGTGTTGTGCATAAATTCCAAATTTTGAACATTGTAAAAACTGCCTGGAATTTGATCGTGGATATTCTGGCAGTATATTTTTTTCAGTGACAATAATTTTAAAATATTTTCAAGGGCAATGGAGAGACGTTTTGGTGGAGAAGAGAGAGAGTGTGGCTGGACTTGACAGAATGATTGTGGAATTCGAAGCCGCTCATTTGAAATTGAACAAGAAAAGCTCAAGTTGGGTCAGTTTGTCTCGTTGGTTCAGCAGCAGACAAAAATCAGTGGCTGCGACCAACGATGATGTCAAGGCAGAATGGAACAGTGCCAGGTTCAAGGTTTGTATTATATATATACTGTAATACAAAAACTTCATACTATATAAACTATACAGTAACTTCATAAAGACCACCAACTATATGCTGTGATTCAACTGTGATGTTGTCCCACTTGTCCACTCAATTGAGAAATTATTTATTAGCGAGTAGATGTCACTGGTTGTCATGATTGAATTGTATACAGTAATAGCATTCATAAAGCACTCCCAAATTTTAATTTACATCTCCTGGTGGTATGTGTAAGACCAATTCTGCTATGCATCAAAGATGAATTTGTGATTCAATGTTAATTTTTCCTTTTAAAAAAGAGGAAACTATTTTTTAATATCCATTCTTTAAACTTTTTTTTTCAGTTAAAGAATCCTGCACTGTTATTCCTTGATTAGTCAGGCGAATTACAGATGAGAAGCTGTCCCATTCGACGTTCTAAAATATTCTTGCTGATAGATGGCGCTGTCAGTTATGATGACAGTTTTATTTCTCCCATATTAATTTTAAGTAACAAGTACTTTTTGATGGGTTCCTCTCCTTTTGACAAGAGAATTACTGAATTCAAATACAAATTTAGATTGCCCTTGTTGATTTGAAAATTTTGTAGGAATCTGTGCTATTTTTTCTTTTATATGAAATCCTTCCGAAAGCATTTTCAGCACATTTAACACTGCTTTGAAGGCAGTATCGTGTTTTGTCCAGATCGCATTTTCGAAGATGACGACTTTTAAATTACGTTAAATATTTTTTGACATTCGGTGTGACTAATATGTAACGAGCTTTTTTTTTTTTTAAGCACCAGGTTTTTTTTCATGCTACTGTCTCGAATTTGTTGTCAGTACTGTATAGTATTTTTTCCTTTTTTTCAGGTTCCACCAGGTTTGCCATTCTGGCTCCAAGCTGTTCTCGCTTTGCCAGGTCTTCCAAAAATCATTCAAAGGTTCGCCAACGAAGAAGAAGCTGTCACCGATTTTGATGGCTTTGGCGACACCGACCAGCACTTTTTGCGCAATGCGCAGTTGATTGAACAGTCGAATTGAAGATTTCGTGTTTTATAATTTTTGTACAATATTTTTGTTCTCTGGACGAACGCCCAAATTTCTGCAGATTCACATCACATTTTTTGCAGTTTTTCTCGTTGCTGTAATCGTGTTTTTGATGGCTTATGATGAGGATCCTCAAAAATTGTCAAAAATCTTCAAATTCTTGGCGGACTTCGGATCTTGCTCCTTTTTCATGTATGCAGACCTGGAGAAAAATTGAGGATTTGATGAGTTGCGTTCCTAGTCGAATCTGGAGCACAGTGTTATACAGTTAGTCTCCTGCAGGATCGTCGTTGTAGTATTCACAAAAAAAAGCACCTCCGTGTTTTTATTTACCGTCTGAGTTGAAGTTCAAGTTGATTGTAATTTTGAATTGGGTTCCTTTCCCACTGTTGTGAGGTTTTTCTTGGAAGCGGTGAGCTGTCTTTCAGTATGTATATGTTCTAATTGTTTTATATACGCAGCTGTTAATGAATTCGCTCATTGCGGTTTTTTTGTTTTGCATGGTGGGAAGGGAAAAATGAGGATGAGTGCGATATGAAAATATATTCTTGATTTACCATTTTACTTTTGCTTGGTAAATGTCCTTTATTGCATACTAATTTTCAAATTTTGCAGCAGGGGAGATGATAAATGGAAGAAACAAAATGTTTTATTGCCTGTACACTACATTGACGTAATTAGCGTATGTGGTCTATACAAGAAGTTGGAAATCTGCTACCAGAAGCCTTTGCCTGAATACCGTTCGCGCGCATTGGACGCTAGTCCAGAGCTCTTTGTAAACTGTCATGGCTGCAGTCATTGTCGTTGCTGGTGGCTGCAGATTGCAACAAAACGCGACAGTACAAACTTTTTGTATGCTCAGTCTAGCAGATGGATGCGTGTAGTTTTCCCCAGATTATTGTTTGACGAAGTGAAACATCCTTTATGTAGTGTAATCTGTTCATGTAACCATGAATTTGAGATTATTTTGCGAACATTTCATGGATTTGTTGCAGTGGTCGAACGGCGTCAAGCGTCATGCTATGGATAACGTGAATTGTACCGACTGCGGCATGTGCGTCACGTTGAGCTGGGTGGTTGTTGACTTCGTATCGGTTATTTGAAAGGAAGCTCGACCAGGTGTTCGAAATCTTCAATTACGTTTGTTTTATGTTGATGAACTTTTTCGGAATGGTGAGATGTCTTTTATCTGAGGGTTAGTATTGAAGTGTCCCCTATCCGGATTCGGCGAATTTTGTTCGTGTTACAAACTTGTGTGGGAAACATAGTAATGGTGCGAGTTTTTGCACCCGCCTGCTTGATGCGTCATTCTTCTTTGTAGGAAAAAAATGAGAAAAAGAAACCAATTTTTTAAGCAGCGGAAGTCGAGCAAAAAGGCCCGTCGCTATGTGGAAGTAGTACAACCGTCAGCTTCGGCCGTCGCGGATACATCGAAAGATCTGGATGAGTCGGACGCGAGTGAATCGGAGTTTGAGAAAGAAGAGGACTGCCTTGTCGAACTTGTTCGGTCTGTCGGCGGAAACGTCGATGGAATAAATAATTGGAGAGGCGATGATGAAATTGATGAGGAGTCGAGCGATGATGAAACGATCGAAGACGATGATTCCGGCGAGATCAATCAAGTAAATGTGGATGCCGGAGAGAATGTATTGAATAGTGACAAGGAGGAGCATTTGGAAGAGGAGCGTGAGTCTTAGCTGACCAATCCCCCTTGATGAGACATGGATTAACCAGTGAAATTTTTAGGCGCCTCAGAAATCGACGAAGATGATGATGCCGAAAATGTGGATCAAGTTCATTCGGAAAATGGCGGAGAGGTTGCGAATATTTCTGAACCCGATGACGATGAAGAAATTATGAATGTGAGTTCAAAACTTTTCATCGCTTTAATTTTATATTTTGTGATTTCTTTCTTTTTTAATCCGTCGATTAGGAACTAGAAGAAGACGCGGAAGGAGATCCATTTTTACTTCGTTTTGAACATGATATATCCGATACAGTTGTGGAAACCTTACAAGACTCTTCGAAGTGTACTCAAAGTGAGCTGCGTGTGCCTTCGTTGGGTCGCGTTTTGTTTAAAAAGTGTGTCTTGGAAGACAGTGAAGCCGAACGTTGTCCCACGAAATCGATGGGAACTGAAGATGATCTCGAAAAAATTCTAATCCATACGCGTCGTAATCTTCGGAATCATCTCAGTGAAACTAACCTGAACATCGTCAAGGATTCGCAGCAGCTCACTGCTATTCAGAAACGAATTTATTCACTGATTTCATCTTACGCGGATTTCTTGATGACTGATCGTAACATTAACAATACGGAGGAAGTGCGTGTCTCGTATTGTTTGCACGTGTTGAATCACGTACTGAAAACTCGTTCTCGTGTGATGAAGCACAATCGACGCATTCAAGCAAAACGAGAAGCGTTGAGAAGGGAAAGGCTTGCTCAAGCCAGTGAAGGAAAAGTCGAGAAGAAGAAATTTCCTGTTTCGGGATCCGATGATGTTGAATACCGAGATCAAGGATTTTTCAGGCCAAAAGTGTTAATTTTGGTACCGTTCAGGGACAGTGCATTGAGGTGAGATTTCCGTGCTAAATATTTTCATCTTTTGATCTGTTCTCGGCGAGATTTGATAAAATCCAATAGCAGTTCTTGTCAGCACTCCTCTTACGTTTTATGATTTATTGCTACGTGCAGAGTGTGCAATACTCTGATGAACTTGCTGCTTGGCGACATTTCGAAGAAAGCAGCAAATGTCGTGAATCGCAAGAAACTTGAAGAACGCTATGGTTGGGATGCTGAGCAAGTTGAAAGACTAGCAGAGCTCAAACCTGCTGATTACACTGCCACATTTTCCGGCAATCCAGACGACGCATTTTTGTTCGGTGTTGCCCTTACTAAGAAGACACTCAAGGTATGCGTTGTTTCTTACTTCCTATGAAAATTTTCAGTAGTGTTGAAGGAATGATCAATTTTGTTTTGGTGTGAAATTTTAAAAAGTACTGGAATAGATTGCGACGGTCAAAATTTAAAGGTTTATCGTATGAATTCCGGAATACTTTTCACTTTTTATTTTCGAAGAACTATTTACTCTTATTTAGTTTTTCGCGAACATGTATTCGAGCGATATTTTAATCGCTTCACCGATGGGACTACGAGTGAAAATTGGAGGCGAAGGAGAAAAGGACCGCGATATGGATTTTTTGGCATCGATCGAAATTTTGATAATGGATCAAACTGACGTCTTTCTGATGCAAAATTGGAGTCACGTTTTGCACATTTTGGATCATATGCATTTGACACCCTCACAGAACCGCGACATCGATTTTTCTCGGGTGAGAATGTGGTCGTTGTCAGGACATGCTGCATTATATCGGTGAGATCATTTCCTTTTTTTATGTTAGTCATGAGTTGAAAAACATTTTTCTTTTTTTTTCAGGCAAACGATGATTTTTAGTTCTGTACCGACAGTTGAAATCTCGTCAGTGTTTAACAAAAAGTGCAAAAATATGACGGGAAAATATTCAACCGCAAATTCGGTTGACGTTGGATCGATTAGTTCTGTTATCATCCCGATTCCACAGGTACGAATTCGTTTGATTGATGATTAAGAAACATGAGCTTTATTTTTTATTTTTTTAGACTTTTCGATATTTTACTGCCTCGAGTCCATTGGAAGATTCAAAAGAGCGATTTCAAATATTTGTCGAAAAAGTCTTGCCGAGGTTCAGGGATGCCGTAACGAAGCGAGTTTTAATTTATATCCCATCCTACTTCGATTTTCTCACGGTGCGGAACTACTTCCGAAAGTCCGACTTGGAATTCGCTGAAATATGCGAGTACACGGAGGTGAGTTCAGTCCCGGTGTGACCATGGGAAAGTTTTATCAGCCCTTATTGACTTCTCTGTCTTGTAGGAAAAGAAAATCAAATCTGCTCGAAATAAGTTCTTCCGCGGATTCCAGAAATTCCTGCTGTTCACAGAAAGATTTCATTTCTTCCGTCGCTACAAAATGAAGGGAATGCAGCATATAATTTTCTTTGGGTTGCCGACGTATCCGCATTTCTACTCGGAAATGATCAATTTCATGCAGGTTGGTGTCGATTTGTTGGAATAACCGCATCGGAAAAGCGTTCTGTTCGAGAATTGCTTTTTCTGTGATGTTTTTTTTTTCTCGTTTGAACACAACTATTTCAGCCATTATAATATATTTTATAATTTTTTTTTGAAGGGACGCATGTCGGGTGATGGCGTGAAAGGGGAAATGTCGTGCACAGTAATTGTGTCTCAAGTGGACGCATTGAAGCTGTCAGGCGTGGTGGGCACAGCAAAGGCCGCGTCCATGTTACGTGACAAAAAAGAGTCCTACTTCTTAGTGACTGAGTGATGAAAGAAAAGGCGTTGCAAAAAAAATCAAGTGTCGCTAAGTGGTGCTGGTCAAAAGAAGTGTGCATTCGCGCGTTTACATTTAATTGTGCTGCACATCGTTAAGACATGAAATCCCAATTATTGGTCTACGTTTTCAGGGGTCATGTAGTCGGCGGCTCCGCGTTGTGCCAGTTATTGCCTCCCTCGCCAGGAGGACTACGATAACAGAAATGCTCTTGCGACAACAGTGTTTGGTGAGTTTCAACTTTTATGCTTAACTTTTAATGAGGCACTATTTGATTCTGTGCGTCCTATGTGACAGATTCAACGATAAATATGTTTAGTTTAGTGCCCGAATTCGAAAGATAACTTCTTTGAATTACTGATGCATTTGCTGAAAATTTAATTGAAGATTCGCAATAATTTCATCGCAGTAATATAGCCTTTTGAATAGATTCGGTGACGCATTCTGATCTTTGTGTCGTTTTAAGCTTTCAAAAAAGGGATTACAAACAATATTTGCAAGCTGCGCTAATCATGGGATTTTTGAAAATGCGTGCCCTCTTTTTATCCTCGTAATTGACGAGGTCTCTGAAGATGAATGCGTCCCCGTCATTTAAATAATGTAATTTTCCGTCTAAAAAAATTTTATTAGAGGAATGCAAAAAAAATTGATTTTTTTTGCATTCCCCCAATCAATTAATTTTCCATTCATGATGCTGCTCGTAATATTTCCCCACAATTTTTCTTATCAATGAAACCATACAAATATTTTTTACATTTTTCTTGTGCAGGAATCGCTGCGGCGGTCTCCAAGACTCATGCTTTTCCAGTTAAAGGCTTTAAGGAAAAACCGGAAGGCGACGCACGAAATCATTTCAACCTTGCTTTCGCTCTCTGTAGATTTTCAGCGTGGAGAACGTCCTCAGGTTTGTCCTGACGATTCTTTTCGAATTCCGAGCCATGAGATGTGATTTCATTGATTTAACGATTTTCTATCCTTCATAACGTGACAGGTGAAGTTTCCAGAAGTGATCAGATTCTTGTTCCACTGGCTGCCGGAAATAGAATCAGTGCCGATTCGAATTTCCGTAGTCCGATCTGTCGTTGAACTTGCCCGAAATGGATTGCACAGGTTGGTTTTTTTATTGTTGCTATTAGGAAATTATTTTTTTTATGTGTTGAGTGACTTGTGCAGTACTGCGGAGTCCTTCGCGGAAAGAATCCTTTGGAAGCGTAAAGAATAATCCGACAATTGTTTTTTGTGAACCACCTGGAGACCAGATGAGATGATCTTCCAAAGGGCTGATTCTTTTTTTCACATTTCAAGTTTAGTATGGACTTATTGTGAATATACTTAGTCGTATTCCTCAGGAAGTTTTTGCAGAATTTTTTTGTTATGTCAATATGTATTTTTGACGTTGACAATTTATTCATAATGCCATTCTCTCCTAGTGTGATGCGATTGTGCGCCAGTGGGCTGATAATGGACCTCATTGCTTTGCTGTCGAGACCGGAAGCAATTTACAACCCGGACAGTGCGGAACATGATGCCTTTCGGAAGCATATGGGCGTAGACCTGGATAGTCCGATCCCCTGCGGGAGCAGTGCGGAAGTTCTCGGAGGAATTTTCACGTTGCTAAAAATTCTCGGGTCACATTCCATTTCCGACCGGGAATTGCGTGCCATTTTTCTCAGGCTGCTTCGCGGGAAACGTGATGTCACCCCGGTAAGGGATATTTTGAACTTCGGTTCTTCATTTTTGAATGTTCATCATTTATTTTTTCTCATGTTGATGCTTAGTACCCGTACATAAGTCAAGTGCTGTTTTCATTGGTGGAAATGGCGAAACGGGAAGGATTCAAGGATTCTCAGTATTTCTTCGATATCCAGCATTCCCGAGGTTTGTCTATTCTGCATTCCATACCTCTGCAGCTAAAGTAATTTCTTCAAGGAATTCCATTATCGAACTTGTTGATTTTTTATTGTGCTAATTATGGATAATTGTTAATTCATCGTCAAATTATGGATATTTTTTGGAATTAAAATTAATTCTTGGAATATTTTTGAAGTTTTTGGATTGAGCTTTGGAAGTACAGGTACTTTATTCAAAATTTACTATTTTTTCGCTTAGATGTGATGAGGGTCGTTGGAATAAAGCGCTGGCCAGGTTCGGGCAACAGCTACACATTCCACTGTTGGGTTCGACTTGTCAGTGAGAATTCATCAGAAGATACCGCTAGATTGAAGCGCCGGTATCTGTACAGGTTAGTTTTATTTTCTGATTTTCACTATGTGTCCGATATATACAGGCTGTATATATTTATATTTTCTTCATTTATTTTTGATCCCTCCGTTTTTTCCCTTGATCAATCCAACGTTGTATAGCTCTTCAAGGGTATCTGTTGCTCGTGTTTTTTTTTCTCGAAGTTGAGTGATTTTGAATATCCTTTTGCGTTTTCCGTAGCTTCCACGTGGGGTCGGGAGCAACATTATCGGGCTTCGAAGCCTTTTTCGGGCCGAAAGGGGTTTTGACGGTGTCTGTCTGGGATTCGAAAGACATGCATTCAGCGAGTGTTCATGAGTTCCCCTTGGGTGACGGACGTTGGCATTGCGTGACTATTTCGCACTCAGCTAATTGGCGAAGTATTCGGCCATTCGCCCAGAGTCAGCTGTCTGTGTTCTTTGATGGAGCTTTGCGACTCGTATGTCCTCTTCGATGTCCCGTGTTGAACCAGGTGAGCATTTTCTTTCATTTCCAGCAGAAAAGCTGGTGTCTTTTTATTGAACTTACGATTGTTCCCATGTCGTGATGCTACCTTCTGTTGCCTAAATCTTTTTTTATATTTTTAGTTGAAATAATCTACATCTTTAAGTAGGGTCCGGTCACGTGAATCCGAAAAACGAAACGAAAGTCTCAGAAAATATTTTGTTTATTTTTTTGCGAAGTGAAACTATTTGGATTTTTAATTCACGGTAATTATTCCTTAATTTTGGTGTTGTACCTTGTTACGTTTTTGCATAATTTATATGATTTTGTTCTGCTTTTATAAGCCTTTGACAGAAGTCGTGATCGGAGGAGCAGGACACCGCAACAGATCGTATGTATCTGAAGAAACATCCGCAATGTCTTCTTGGAACCGGAAATCTCAGGTGAATGGTCAGAATGACGTGAAAAAGCCGGATGTTCCGGAGAAGTCCAAGGGCTTCTTCGGAAGTCTAGTTTCAGCGGTGCCAAGTATTTTGCCTCAACTGCCTTCAGCTGCTCGCACAAAATCTGCCAATGATCCCAACGTTAGTCCATACAATTAATTATTTATTTAATTGAGGAACTTTGACTTACTTGTGTTTTTGAATGTTCTACAGATTCGTGTCTCTGGCATACCGCACCTGCTACGATACAAACCCCTGGGACACGGCGAAGCACCAGTTTAACCTGGCCACTACCACAAAGTGCTTCGAAACTGACGAGTCGTTCGCTTCCTAGAGATACGACAACCACCCACAACTATTGTTTTAAAAATAAGTTTGAAACAAAATCCGTGGTTGAACATTTGAATGCCTACTGTATCGTCGCGGCCGAAAAAGTGCACCACAAAAAGCAGCTGTTTTATCGTTATATAGTCTAAAATCCTTTATCTGTTCCTTAGTTAGAATTCGGAATTTTAAACGTAACTGGACTGATTTTGTAGAAAACAGCGAGTGTTCATCTTAGCTCACGTCGTAAGAAACAAATGACCGATTGAAGCTTGTGCAGAACGGTTTCTGGTTATCAGATTAGTATGATACAGTATATGGTTTTATGCATGTATTATAATAGTCCTAATTTAATAATTCTTTAATTTGGTGGAATCAGTTTGAAAATGTCTGAAAAAATTAAGAATTGCATGGCTATTTTTTCATCATCAGTTGCAATTTTTACATGATTATCTGTACTTGAATTGTTTTTGCTTCTCATTTCCCAGGTTTGTTTTGATAGCTCATTAAGGAAGTTACAAAAAAGATTTTCGAAACATCATAGGATGATTTTAAAATGTATGTTGAAAATTTCAGGACCAAATTGCGCCCACGTGTTCTCAGGCCGATATTTGGCGTCGTTGGCAAGCATACACTGTGATACAGGAGCTGATACTGGAGGCAGTAGTAGTTCCTTTGACCCTGCTTTATGTTGAAAATTTCAGGACCAAATTGCGCCCACGTGTTCTCAGGCCGATATTTGGCGTCGTTGGCAAGCATACACTGTGATACAGGAGCTGATACTGGAGGCAGTAGTAGTTCCTTTGACCCTGCTGGGATTTTATCTTCCTCCGCTTCGCCGATGTCGTCATCTAGTGAAGGTGAACTGGAAATGAAACTTGTGTTTTGGTACGATGCGAGGGTGACGAGTTCTGGGGAGAAGTTGTGCGTGGACTTGAGCCCTAATCGGACTCATTCCGCTCATTGTTCGGCTCCTGTCTCCATTTTGATGAACATTAGGGTGAGTGTGGTGTTATCTGAAGCTTTTGCTTTGTGCATGGTGACTTCGGCGCGCTTTTGGGCTTACTTTTTTTCGCTTCAAAATTTGCAGGACGCGTTAAACAAAATAGGAGGGCTGCATGTCTTGTTTCCTTTATTGGAGAAGTTACCGCACGAGCTTGACGTGGATTTAAGTTTAGTGTCGCCTACTTCTGGATCTGCTTTGCCGCCGGTTGTGATGACTACTTATAGTGGGCATTTGGAAGATACTGCAAGCTCGTTGGGAGAATGGGAAATGCTTTCTTCGCGTGACGATGCGGAGTACGGCAAAGATTCTTCGAATCGAGGTGAATGAAAGTCTAAAATGCTTGTCAAAGTGATGAAAGTAATTCCTGATTTTTTTTAAACCTGTGATTTACGAGATTTACGAGATTCAATATCAGGAGAATCCGCAGAAAATTACAGTATTACACTGTTAAAATACGATAGTCTGCATTCATGAAAAAAGCGTCGTACAAGATCAACAAAAGTTATTAAGCAATGTTCATATTGCCTCTAGGTTTTGTTAGAAATCAAGCTGCTGGGCTCTTCTCGCTGATCCGCATCTTATCTGCTGAATCCCTGGTTTGTCTTGACCAGCTTTTAAGGTACAGAGCTATTCCTGTGCTGGGGTATCTCCTGCAAAAGGTATTGATCAATTTTTTGTGATTCTTTCGAGATTTTCTTTGGTGATGTTCGTGATTTTTACAGCTTCCACCCGCGTTAGTGGACATAAATCTTCTGATTTCATTGGAGTTGTTCTGCGAGCAGTTGCGAGATCAACGACGAGATGCGCTTCTCGAACAGATGTATGCCTTCATTTTGTTTGACTTCAGAATTTGGACGAATTGTTCATTCATTGTTCGTATTGGTAAGTTATATTTTGCTATTTGTTCGAGAGGGATTTGAAGTATTTGCGTGTTTCCCCAGGACACTTTCAAGCCTTATGTCGAATAATACACGAGAACAAAGTTTACTTTCGAAGGAACTTCGGGGTTCAGTTTTTGCTTGACGTAATTCATCAACATTACAAGTGAGAAGCCCAGAAACTGCTTATTGTGAACGTTGTAAGTATATGAAATCAATTTTTTTTGAAGACTTGTGGATCGACTTTCTCCGGAGGACACTAAAGCAGTGAGAGCAGCTCTGATCAATCTCATCAAGTATTTCATTTCTCGGGATCCAACTGCTGCTGAAGTTTCTGCGATACTTCGGTTTACCTTCTCTGTGCATGAGGAGGAAGTTGTGAGTTTCCCGGAGTTTGTTTTGTAATATCACTACAAACTTTTAATACTCCTTAAATGTTATAGGTTATGGACATTCTTCAGATGCTGTACGCATACTTGGAAAGTAAAGCTGCGAAGGACCAGATTTATTTACTCCTTTACGAGAATGGGAACGCAGAACTATTTTATGGACTGTTGATTCAAAAACATTTTTCTACCGAGTTCAAAGAGCTTGTTTGTCGGGTATGTCTGTCTCGCATTATGTGAGCTGCGATTTTATTATATTTTGGACATTATTTCGTAGATTATGATGGCATTGTTGGGAACGGACAAAGTGCAAGAAAAGAACAAAACTAGGCTTCGACTAGGCGACGTGGGTTACGGAGGATTCTTCTCGTTTCTCAAAGGACAGATGTTGAGTGAAGGTGTTGCTGCTCAGTTGGTCAACCAAATGTTGATGATCGGTAAGACTAGAATTGAAGAAAATAGTGATTTGACACTTTCTTCATAGCCTTTTTAAATTTTTTTTAATTCAGATTCACAAGGCTCTTTGTGTGGAGTATTGTTGCTGACAGCTCATCTTCAGCACGCCGATCGCATCGAAACGAAGCTGACGGTGGGCAGAATTTTGCAGGCGTATTTGCATCATCGAATGCAGGCTACTTCCCGGAGTTTTGCGAGGCAATCTGGATGGCAATACAGGTGAGTTTTTTTGTTGTCTCCTTCTAGCAGAATCAATATAATTGAATAAATTCTCTACATTTGATGATTTATGTAATATATTTGTGTATTTTTTCGCAGCGTGTGTTGCTTGTTCACGAAATGCGAACGCCGCGATTTGGGGGTTTCGAAAAGTGGACAAGAGGACAAAGAGATTTCCGTCGCATCTCCTTCCGCGTTCCTGAACAGTTTGTCGCTCGATGTTGAAAATGATCCGGATTTAATGAGCTTTGAATTGATTGATTCTGCAACGGGAAGAGGTCGTGTGGATATGGCGGCGGCCGCGTGGCAGATGCTTCCTCAACAGCTGACGGAGATTCGTGGAATGGCTGAGACTGTCGGCTCTGTGGTCTCTGAAAATATTCAGGTCACTGATATGTACTAACTTATTTAGTAGTTTATATTTTTTATTGATCATTTCCGTGCTCAGTTTGAGATATAAAAAAAAAGATTAAATTTAGTCTTCGCGCACTTATTCCAATTTCAACTTATTTACTCAGCTATTGGATATAATTTGAAGTGATGCTGATTTCGACCATTTTTCTGTCTGAAAATTGTAGCTGCCTCTGAAAAACTGTTGATTATTCTTTGGCATTATTGAATAGATCTATGAATTTTTTTTACAAGACTTTGCAGGAAATCATGAAAAATCATAGAAAGGACAGTAGTGGTGCCGAGATATGCACCATTCGCTAATTTGTAATCTTTAAATTGTTGCAACATCGATTGAAGGAGAATTTCTGAGGAGTGAATTTGGAAGACTTAAAATGGTCTTTCCAAATGATTGAAACATTTCGAAGCTTTCTTCTTTTTTTTGAAGGAATGTACGAAAACGTTGAAACAAAAATTTTATACCTTCGCGCAAAATTCATGGACCGCTTGTATTAATTTCGTTTCTTCAATTCGCGGTTTTCTCGCGTGATGTCTTCACAGGCGGTAACGAGCGTGATATCGGACAATCTGGAAACTGTTACTTCGGCCGTCGTACCTGACAAAATACAATCCGCCGCCAGCAATATGAGCAAGTCCGTGGCGTCCAAGATTTCGAACATCAAGAGGAGAACATTACAAGTTCAGGAAAGCGTGGAAGAAGTTGGCGAAAGCGTCGTTGCCATTGGCGAAGCGGCTTTCAGTTCTTTGAGAAAATCCAGAGAAAGTCCCGCATCTTCGAGTCCATCTTCTCCGTATTTGCCGTCGAAAATGCTTCTTGCTAGAACCAAAGACAGCAGGTGAGCTTGGTGATACTGTATCAGCACAGCAGCACAGTACAGAAAATGTGTACCATCCCACGCACATGTTCTCAGCACTCTCAAAATTTTTATTTTTGCGCGATCAGCCAGATAGATGAATGCTCGCGAATTCAAAACACTACATTGGAACCTCTTTCAGTCGAACTTCAAAGGAGCAGCAAAAAATTCGAGTTTTGGAAACCATCATTTGTGTTCGGGGGAAAAAGAAAGAAGAATCACTGGAAATTGTAATTTGTGATATTTTAGGTCTAACATTGCTTCTTAAATGAGTTGACCGGATGCTGAATTTGGAGGCAAGGGTTGATTTGCCCAATTAATCTTTTCCGTCCTCCCAAAGCACGTCAAATCACATTTTTATTGCTTCTCTCTTTCCTGTGTCCATAAAATAATGGCTGAAATGCCCCCGAGAAATTTCGGGGCTATGGAGGTTTGAGGATGAAAGCCTTCGGGTTAGGTGGGTTTTTGATGCATTTTTTCTAAGGAAATTCAGACAGGGACTTGAAAAAGATTTGACATTGAGAGGTATTTGACTAAGAGAGGTTCGATTTATGAAGATTCAACTGTAGCTACAGAACCTCGCAGTACCCAGATGCCTACTGGTTCTTCTGAGGAAAAAAAATCTAGTGAAAAACCGCAACGCTTATAATCAATTAAAGTACCGTATATGTTCTTGATTCTCATTGGAATGCGTTACGTTGAGAGTCTGGATGGATTTGAAAAAGCTCGATACAAAGATAGAATTTCGCACAATAAAATATCTGAAAAAATAAGAGCGCCCCCTCGTGTGCTGTGTGGAGTGTGTTTCTTAAAAACGACCAAGCATGTGTGACAATTTTCGCACCATATTCTTTTCCAACCTAAAAAACATGGCGGATTGCAAGGGCACCTTACGGAAGCATGGGTAGTTTTGAAGAACTGTCGACAAACTTGCAAGTCGATTTGAAGAAAAGTCGACAATCGTCAGGGCGTTCCCCGCTTCGCAGAAGCAGGTTTTACTCCGATAGCACCGTGCTCAGGTTTGTCGGGGTTTTTTTTTTGTTGATGTTCATTTTCGGCACCTTGCAAAATGCATGACTAAGAAAAGCATGAAATCATGTGTGTGTGTTTTCCGTGCTTCCTTTAAAACAGAACTACTCCAGAAATTAACGAAACTCTTCATCTTGCCAGTGGTGAAATTCAATTTTGTATCAATTGACGTGAGTTTTTTCACACTTTCCAGCAAGGATGATGGATCAATATTGAGTTTGCAACAAGAAGTGGACGCCTACGTGGATTTCGGGGTACATCTCATTGCTTCCATTATGTGGGAAGGGATTCCGACTGAAGGGGCCGCGTTCGACGAAGTCTGGAAGGTTTTTTGCTAAAAATGCTTCCCCATTTTCAGTTGAACATTTGATTTGAAATATTTCTAGGATCGAGGAGCTGTTTTTTGCTGCTTGAAAGAATTGGCATTGACGAATGTTCTCTTTGCCCCCTTGCTGGAAGTCGAACGGAGAATTCTGGAGAGATTAATTGAGGTATTGAACATTTGAATAATTTTTCTCTCATAGATTTTTTTGATGCGTGTGTTTTCATTTTTCTGCAGCTGTGCCTGGAAACACTGAAAGATCAGACGCAAATCACACCAGAGCTGCGAGAAACGGGACACATGATGCTCAAGTGGGCGTATCACCTGATGACGCGAGAAGATAAATCATTATTTTCTTTCCGAGGCGACGCGAAGCAATGTTTGATTTACGGATGTGCTTTATCCGAACGGCTGTTGGACAAAGTCATTTGTCTGCTGGATGTACTTGGGATTTTTGGCGACTCGCCGGAAGAGGAGAATCGGGATTTAACTGCAGCAGTTCTTGGTAAAGCCTCCGTTCCATTCGATATTACGTCAAGTTTGTCTGAAAACTTTTGAAACTACGAAGTAAAATAGAGATACCGATTTCACATAGTAACACGCGCTACTTTTTGCGCTTGATATTCGGGAATAAATGAATCGTGAAACCATATTTAGTTGTGTAAGTCAGAAGTTGGCCTTAAGAAAAAAAATAGATATGTAATTTTATCTAAAACCAGTCCCGTTTCAATGCTTTATTCTCTTTCATTTACCTAAAAGAGTTATCATTTGGCTAACTCGATGAGTTATCATTTGGCTAACTCGATTTTCAGGCAACAAAAACTGGGTGCGGGGATAGGTTTTTAGGAAAAATTTGCGCCAAGAAATCGCGGTTCGGATCTTCCTCGAGGTTGCATTGTACTTGAGTAAATCCAGTATCAAGAGTGAGTCAAAAGGAAATCAGAACGGAATTTTGTGTAAAATGTTGCGAATATATCCCGTACGTTAATGTAGTTGAGTGAAACACGATCAGCCATTTTTTACAACTTTTTTTTTTTCAGTGCAAAAGGCAAGCTCATCACATTGCTTTTAAATGAACATTCATTTTTGAAGCAGTTTCTGTGCGCTCGAGAAATTTTCTGAAAAAAGATGACATGCTCATCAACTTTTCTATAATCAAATCCGCTGGCCTGAAGCACTGGAAGAAGAAAAAACCGAAAAGCTACGAAGATTAAATATACTGCACGCGAGCTATGTAGATGTCAATTTTTTTTTATCAGACGAACTCAGGTCAAATTAAGTGAGGAACTGAATTATCCGACTAGTCATAATCTTAGGTGGCTCAAATCACTGCAGTACTGTTTATAAAATTGTCTTCGCCGGTAATTAAAAAAGATTTGGCTTTAAACCGTTTGGTGAAATTGCTGAAAAATTATTAGCAGCTTTTACTCGACTTCAGTGAAAGCATGGTTTATTGGGTTTCTCGTGAAATCCTCGTACATGACAATCAGTCTACTGCTTTAGAATCAATCTTCGAATCATTTCTCCCGAACTGACTTTCCCTATTCCTATACGGTTTTCGAGTAGTGATTCAGTCGATTCAAAAGGCTCCATTCTCTCGACTCGAGCGTGAATTGATCCCATAAAAATGAAAATTAATTCAACTATAGAGACAGACGACTGATCGTTTTATGAGGGAAAAAAATTCAAACGCCGAGAAAATTGTTGCAGTCACCAATTTATTTCTGCAGCAATGCTGGTGAAATGTGCAGCAAGCGAAAACTTGGATTTATGCGCGATGGCGACAGCAAGACTCCATTTCCTCATACAGTCTCGTCCTTTTGTACATCTCGAAGAAACGGCGTATTTGCTGGCATGTTTATGCGAACCGGTCTACCGATCCATTTCCTGTGAGTTTTGCGTCCGTCATCTTCTTGTGGACATCTCGTGAATCTTCGAGCCATGCAAATTTGCGATTTTTTAAAATGAAATATTTTTAAAACTCTACAGCGCCCCAAAATGTCATATTTGAAACAGTTTCAACGTATTGAGGGTCCATTGATTATTTTACCGGTTCCTTTTTTTGTAGTGCTACAATTTTGTTCGAGAATAAATAATTTCCTCAGAATAAGGAGATTCCATTAGTTGTGCTCTTACTTTACTTACCAACTGGATCCCTTCGAACGATTCAGGATTACAACTGTTGTTTCCTTGAACTCTGAACGGTTGCAAAAATTAGTTATAAAGATAATCCATGTAGAAAATATATTGTTGGTCAGAAGCAGTCGTGCATTTTATCTGCGAATTTAAAAAGTCTTCGAATATTAGACGTGACCTGCATTTTTATTTTTATATTTATTTAAGAATAAATGTGCATTCCGAGAATTGCAAAAGCTTTCTTGAATCAATACCCGCGAACATCAGACGCGGAAATGGGAAGCATGTATGCCAGTGATTGTCTGTCGAAATTTGCTTAAAAGAAATGATTAATATTGGTTTTTGAGGTGAATACTGTAGTTCCTTTTTTATTTTAATGAAACCGACCTGATTTTTTGAATGTTTTAGTGAAAAACACGGAGCATTACAGCTTCTTGATCCCGGTGATGAAGGCGTTGTTGGACAAAGTTGGATCTTTGGGGGCTCTACATTTGCCTGCTTGGTTGCCATCGCTGCCGACTGGCACCAACACGCCGTCGTTTGATGAAGAATTTCAACATTATTGCATGAGTGGAGAATGGCGAGAATTTGTGCAGACCAAGGTTAGTTCTTTTTCTCCTCCTCTACGATGTAATGCGTTATTGGGTAATTATTGTCACAACCTGTAGCGATAGGAAAGTACTGTTGACGAGAGAGTTGTTCCTGTTGAACGCTCGTAATGATGTTTCTTGAGTAGATATGATCGGATATAAAATTGTGACATAGCTCGTGATTTTCGAAGTTTCTGGGATTTTTTTCGCATTAAAAAAATCAATTTGCTGCATGAAGTTAAATGAAAACTTTCCAGTTACAACCAGAGTTCTCCATCCTTGTCATGAAAAACTCCCATTTTCTTTCTAGTTTAAATCATCACCTTAAATTTAGAAAAGATCATGGTTAAAGCTTAAAAAAAATCCATCTTTTTTATCTGGGCTGACGAATTTTCAACACCCTTGTGACATGAGCAGGAAGTTGGGTGTAATTGGCAAGTAATCAATCATCATCATGAAGTAAATTGATTTTTTTCCTTCTAAAAATAATCCCAGAACCTTACATCATCGTGGGCTATGTGACGATTTTTTTAATCCCACGTACTCTGGACCCTCGTTCAAGGAGGAGAATTGCTGAGTTCTGAATTTCGTAGTCAAGCGATCAAATGATTTGGAAACTCCCGTTGTTTTTTTTTTTTTTCAAAAATATGACGTATTTTGTATTGCCCGGCTTCTGTCAACAATCAACTTCGAGGCTCGAGAGCAAATTTTGGAAATCAACCACAAAAAAAAAAAACAGCGAAACGCGTTCACTGACGTCGGAAGAGTTTTGGTTGTTTTGTTTGTTTTTTTGGGTAGGGCGTTGAGCCAATAAATAAACCGGAAGTGACAGAGATCGCGACTAGGCGGCGGTCATTTCCTCCTGGTTAATCCTCTTCCTCAGCATGTCCTTTAACCGGGAATTTGGCGAATCTTGAGTGTCGACGAGTTTGCTCTGGAATTCCGCCTCCGAGTTGTACTCGTCTATCCTTCTCGGATTGTGCACATCGTCTTCTATGAACCCGCCGATGTTTTCGTAGGGCTGATGATCTTTCCCGGCGGCTTCCATGATTTTTTGCACGTCAATATCCACCGCGGGTGATTCCCGACTCGTGGCGGACATTCGTTGATTGAGTCGGGTTTTGAATTTTTGCCTCAGGGCTTCGAGTCGGGCGCGTTGGGCGGAAAAGTCGCGTTGTCGAGCCTGGGGCTGCTGTTGACCCGAGTTACCCGCGGCGGAAGATGATGGGTTCTGGCTGTCGGGTTCTGACGAGTGGGTGTCCCTGGGTTCCGGCTCTACTGCTGTAGGTGAGCTTTCTCGGTGTTCCGCCTGTAGGGGAAGAGGAAATCGGAACAATACGGGAACGTGAAATTCAGTTTAACTTCCGGGGAAGTTCCGATTGGAATTGCAGTACAAAGCTGGGGCCTCTCTCAGAAATCCTGCGTGGGAATTTTTCGTAAATTTCTCAAAACTTGTGTTGATTTATTTTTCTAAAAACATTTCATCACGAAGAGGGGAAGTTTATTAAGGATCCGGAAGTATTCTCGGGATTTTTTTTTAAATCTTTATCCTCGGGGAATTTCAGGAATTATGTTTTCAAAATGTTCGCATTCTTTGCAGGTACATTTCTTTCAACATTTGATTTTCATTCTGCAAGGTTCTTTGGAGTTCATTGAAGTATTGAGTTGTCTTTAATACAGGGAATCCTCTTGGCGCACGAACAAGTACAACATCTGCAAATTAATAATGCCATCATGTTTTTCCTGAGTGAAAAGGGATGTATTTTTTTATAAGTTTATTTGCTGAAAAAGGATTCTTATGCGCTTTCACAAGTCAGTGGTGATTTCTAAAACTTTTGAGAGAATTCATTTTTTTTACGCTCTGCAAGTTTTCCAATTTCCTGTCACCTCTTTCGGACTTCAGTGAATACCTGGAGGTGGTTTCTCACAGTTATGTAATCTTTTGAAAATTTTACTACGGTACTAGGATCACCGAATTACTTGATTTTTCATTTTTACTCTGAGAAATGCGAAATATCCCACAAAGACATTGTTCTGCTAAGACGGAAGAGTTTGTTTTCTTTCACGTCCGTCCATTGTTCAGATTTTTTTCAATTTGAAACGGAAGCAAAAAAATAGTGGCGTGGAACTAATCCAGTGTGGATGACCTAATGGCATGGATATGAAGCTGGCGATTCCACCTCTATGTAAAGAAAGCGTTAAATTTCCCGGATTTTTCACGGCTTTATTGCGGAAGTTGTTCAGTTGGCTCTTTTTTTTTCAAGGATTGGGTGAATTTATTTATTTATTTTTAACAAGTTGGCGGGAAAATGTTGAGTCCTGCCTGTTTGACTAATCTTGCCGTGTCCAACTGCGCTCATTCGCGACACCATCAATCATTGATGTTATCGTTCTTCCTGGTGCGCAATCATCATAGTCATCATTTCACTCCCTCGGCTTCATCGGGGCGTTGGAAATACAGAAAGAGGAGGATTCCGTTTTCGAATTTTTGCGTTACGCCTATTTTGTCACGAACGCCATCAATCATCAAAATGTCACTTCTTTCCGAAGGTCCTAAAAAAGTTCGAAAAGCGGTGGATGCAGACGCGAGTATCTTCGACATTTTTATTTTTTTCTTGGTAAACGGAAGAATCGATTGCGTCAATATCTAAAAAAAAAAGAAAATATTTTCTCCTTTTGAAATTGTTTTGCAAATTATTTTAAGCATCAGGTGGCTGAGGCCGTCGCGAATTTCTGTAAATGTTACATTTTGCTTCATAAGCCCACCGATTTATGACGTAAAAGAGATTTCAAATCGATTTGCACTCGCAATAAGTTGATTATTTTTTTTCCTCTTCGGAATGTCGAAGTTTCGCGGGTATTCGAAAAGCATTTTCACCGCTAATGTCTGGAAATTCTTATTTACGCTTGGTGACCCTAAATGCAACATTAATGACTTCAGGCGAGAAATTTTCATACATTCGTTCTGAATTTGTATTAGGAATTTGACTTCTCTGAAGATCTTCAGGAAATTCATCAGGATTTTGAGTCAGTTGCCCATTTCTTGAAAAATCCCACACACACATCTAAATGAATTCGAATTCAATTTCCATCGCAACTAAGTTTCAAAACGTTCGTGATGCTCTTGTGGTTCACGAACGAAAACAAATTATGTTCATGTACGATTGATGCGATGAAAGCACGTCGTGATATTTCAATTTTCTGTTTAGTTGAAATCGTTACCGTGTTCATTTATTTTATTTTATTCACCTGGGCATCTGGTGGGTGTAATTAATTTTACCTTTCCTTTTGTGGGACTTGAGCCGAAGGATGTTGACTATGATTGATGCTTTCAGTAAAGGCAAACACTTTCAGTGTTGATTAAAACCTCATAAATCCTGGTCTTTTTTGGCATTCCGAGTGAAAAAAAAATTCGTGTGCGGTTGCGTTGATTTCTGCCGTGGGATGAAATATTTCGGGAAAATTTGTGTATGTTTTTATGCTTTCAATCATTCTCGTTCCTGAACTTTTCATTTTTCTTCTTATTCCGGATATAATTAAAAACAGTGAGTCTCAGTAGAACATTTCCTGTTGATTTCTTCCTCGGGATGAAATATTTTGGGACAATTTCCTTATGTATGCTTTCAATCAACATCATTCCTGGCCTTTTGATTTTTCTCGTTATTCCAGATACAATTAAAAAATAGCGAGTCCCAATGGAACATTTCCTTCCCACAGCATTTTGAAAATCGCCGAAATTCTTGAGGCCAAATATGCGGAAGAAAATCGAATTGCTGATGTTAATTTTGTGTTGAGGAACAGGATAGCCTCTTTTAAACTGCTTTTTTGACCTTGTTCTGATTTTCGCCGTTGTTCGCAACTATTCTGTCCTGCTGTTATTTTTATTCTTTTGCTTGCTCTTTTGGGGATTCCCTCATCGAATGCTCTGACAATACTTGCGTGAGTAAGAAACATACGGTTCTTGAGAATTTTAAAATAAAAAAAAAATCTTGATTGCATTAATAGTTACAAACCTGTGACTGTTGGTAAGGAGAATGGGGTTGTTCGTCATTTCTGGCAACGTCCATCCGATTCGTCAACTGCTGTTGCTCGTCCTTTCGTTTTATCGCTTGCATTTGATTCTGATTCCTGAGAATCGGTCTTCTGCCAAATCTCGGCCTGTTCCTTTGAAATTGATTCGGGTTCCGGCGGAAATTCGGCGCGGGACCCTGTCGTTCGTGATTCCGCGCTCCGGATGCTGATTCTTCATCATCATCCTCCTCTGTTTTGCCCTGGTTGAATCTGTATCCTGCTTGAGAGGCGCCGACGCCTTCATCGTCGTCCTCATCGTCTTCGCTGACCGCCGTCGAGTCTTGCAGGGGCTTCGTGCGGGAATTTTTCGGGCGGAAAAATGGCTCGGGTTTGATATGCTTTGGAATGTTGTCATCGGACACCTTGTACTCCACTTCGGGTTCTTGGTTCTGTTGAGGTGCACGGTAATAAATCTTCGGGTTATCCTCTATATTATACGGTTGATTAGGGCGGAACTTAGGACGGCCCTGAAGTGTTTTTTGATGATTGTTTTTGAATCGCTGGGGTTTTGATTTCTCCGCATCTTCGACTTCATCGATGGGACGAGCGTACAAGGGTCTTTCTGCATTACTTGGCCCGTTGTGTGGGGAAGGATAGGAATCATTGTCCGCAGCTTGAGAGTCGCCGTCGTTTTCTTCTTCATCTCCTTCTTGATTGTATGGTTGGGAAGGGCGGAAGGGACGCCCCGGTGAAGGCGCCTGCTCGGATGGCGGCAACTGCTGGTAGCTGTTTGGTGTCTCGTCTAAATCTTCTTCTTCCTCGAGGGACGGATCGTAGTCGGCGATTTCGTCGTAGGGGGACTTGTTTGGGGAAGCGGCGGCGGCGGCTGCGACTCCTGGTGCTTGTGGCTCCGATGGTCGATATTCCGGCTGATAGTCCTCGTCTTGGGTTTCGTCCTCTGGATGCGATTGACCGCTGTGGTCGAAATATTTGCCGGGATCGTCGTTGTAGCCGAAGTTGGCGTCGAAGGAAAATGGCAACTTGGGGAAATTCTTGCCGAAATTGAAGTCGTTGAAGCCCTGGTATGGGGTGTCACTGCGAGCGGGGCCGCCGTTCAGGGGTCGAGGGCGCATTGGGGCCCGGAGGTGGGGTTGGCGTTGCAGGGGGCGGAATTGGGGTTGACGTGGGTAGCGGGGGTGTTGAGGGCGGCGGCGGAGTGGCGCCAGTTGTGGCCTCATGGCGGCATGTGGCAGCTGGAGTTGGCGGGCGCGAGGCTGGAGGTGTGCAGGGTGGTGGTGGTGGTGGGTGGGGATGTATTGGGGTTGTGGCGGCGGCTGCTGGAGGTGGTGGCGGCCTTGGCGGCGGCCGAGTTGCAGTCGGAAGCCTGATGAGGTGTCTACGATGAACGCTGCTACGCACAGCACCTGGTGAAGGCGGCGGCGGAAAATGGCGGAGATACGAAGGGGATATAGACACGAGTTTTCAATCATATTTTTTCAGAATTTAGCTGATTTTTTAAAAGCAAATTGTCTAAAAATATAAACTATAAACTATATATCGATTGCGTATTCACGAAGAGGCCAAGTTTTCGAAAGAGGTCGTAACTATTCTTTGCCTTTGGGCCAAATATTTTTTTGCCCAACTTTGCGTATAATTCGAGATTTCCTATAATGCTCTTCTATTTTGAATTTTCCGACTCAAAATTGACTTGGAATTTATGATGAATATTACACAATTTCTTGGCGCTTTTCTGAATGCACAGACACCAGTTGATGATAAATTCAGACGAGATTTGGTTTCTTTGAAGGATTTTGCCAACTGATGTCACGTCTTCCATTTCGTTGTTTGAATGCAGAATCATTCAATTAGAATTGATTAGTTTATAGATTATTGGCGACAATAGACTATTATATCGCGAGAGCCTAATTTAAAGTGTAATTTAAATTTAATTTCAAGCAAGTAAGAGATATTTTTTCTGTGGAATGATGAGCAGTTAGAAAAGTTTCTGAATCATTATTTTAGCGCACGGAATATCGTGCATTTTACTTAATGATGAGACTCAACTGTCTCCATTATTGAAACGTTTGCGTGTTTATTCAGATGTATCATTTTATTGTGATTTTGCGATGAAAGTAAACCCAATTTGCTGGATATGTAAGCTAAAGTGAAAAAATCCCTGCTTTGTTTATTTTATGCGCACGAAGATTTTCGGATTATTTCCGGTGACGATGTAATTTAGCGTAATAGTTCGCGTAATTAGCTTTTCAGTGCACTTTCACGTTTCTAGAATTTTTTTCTTCTGGGAAACAGTAATTGTGCAGATATGTTTTTTTCTTGGCTGAAATTTGGCATTTGAGTAAATTAGGCCGCAGATTTCTGAATTCCGTGTGAAAAATACTGCCAGTAGATTTGGGTCGGAAATGCTTTGTAATTGGGATAGATTAAAAATCCAGTACTGTCGCCTGTGTCATCGCGATTATATTATGATCACTGTCTATGTTTTAACTTCCGGGAAGGTTGGGATCAAAGTTAAATACATTTAGTGCGTTTCATCAATGACCGAAATGGTCGTGTCATCCCCCTGAAAGAAGTTTATAAAATTAGCAAGCTCTGCGGAATTGGACAGTTTTTGAAAGCAGAAATTCATTTGCGTTTACTAAATTGTGAGAACCAGGAAATTTAAATCGTCTTCCCTCGCTGAAAATACGATGTATAATGGCAAAACAAAAACAAAGTTCTGAAAAATCCGAGCATGTTTTCGTATAGTTCTTAGGTATGTGTTTATCGATCTCGAGCGTTTTGGGTTTTTTATATTCTCTATTTACTCTATTTTCAGTTCTAAAATTCTGAATTTCTCGTTCGTTTGATAGTTCACGGGCGTAAATAGTATTCACGTATTCTATGAATAGTTGTAACTTGAATTTTAAAGTTGGTGAATTTTCTGCTTCGAAATTGTCGATGTTGTGAGGAAACAAAACTGATGGTTTTCCAATTAGATTTTAGACCTAATTGGAAAATGCCGTCAATTTTCATTGCAGAATATTTCCATACGCTATCAATCCGCTGATCAAATGCGACTAAACTTTGTTCTCGTAAAAACGGAATTCTTCCGATATAATTTTTTCAAATGCCTTTTTGTTTTTGATCTATTCGGAATGTTTCAAATCCTGTATTTAAAAATCGCAGTGAAGTAAATTTCATTCTTTTCAAAGCAGTTATTTTGTCCTCGTATTGGAGAAAGTGAAATTGCTTGGGAATTGATGTGAAAGCCCCCGAGAAGTGGGCTCACACATACACGTAGAATTTTGGATTAATTTAGCTATTCATTGTCGTTTCGCCACCCAGTTTTTAAAATTCAAAATTCAAACATTTTTATGTCTTGAAGAATAATGAAAGGCGCGAAAGGAAATTCGAAATATGTGTCCCACAATCCGCTTTTCCACTCCTCGTGTCGATTCAAGAACAAGTAGAATACAATACGAAGCTTTTTTTTCCGCGTAGAAAATTTTGGAATAATTTCAGTCCCAGGCGGAGAAATATATAAATTGCCGTTTTAAAAACTGGATTCACTCTTGGGAATCGAGTGAAATTTTCCATGGCTGGTTGCGTGGAAAAATTCAGGGCTTACTCGCATTTGAGACGTGCCCATTTGTTGAGGCAAGGAAAAATGACAGTTTTTTTTTTAAATCTCAAGACGCACTTTTGTTCATTTTCTTCTGAATCGGGGCAGTGCGTAACTAACTCGTCTGAAGTAAAAAAAAATATATATACATTCTCCAACACTCACAAAAGCTTTTCGCATTTTTAGAAAAATAAAAAATCATCTTAAATTTTCAAAAAACGTTTTCATTGACAGAAATTCGCCTGCGCTGTGTAAGATTGAATCTGGCAAAAAAATATAGGAGAAAATATACGTGAGAATAACAAATAGCGGATACTGGGATTAAATTGGACAATTCTCCGCTGTTTCCATATTGGAATTGATTGAAGAGATCAGGGAAATAATTGAAATATCGATTCCGAAGAAATTGAGCCCGAGCAAAGCGCATTGAATATTTTTTGCGCAAGATTATTTTAACTTTACGTCGATTGGATATGTGATGAAACGCATTTGGTTTTTAAATCAAAATTTTGCAACTGAAATTTTTTTCTCGCATTCAAGTGGAAGCTTCAACGATAACGCTCTTATGAATTGATGTAGTTTGAAACCGGTAAATTGGGGCAGTACTTTTCACATTTGAAGGGAAAAAATTAACCATATTTTTTCTTCCTGCGATGATAGAAGGTGATAAACTCCGTTAGGCGGTGAATTGGACGTTTCGTGAGTCCCAAGTTCTGGAAAAAGTGAAATCTCCTTTTTCTGCCATTTGCCGAGAAATTCACTCAAGCGTGCAATCGAGGTACATTCTGGGCTTCATTTTCATCTTGCCTTCCTTCGACTTTCGCTGCTTGGAAACTTGGTACGTTTAATGACTGATTTCGCTTCTCGTGGTTGAAATTGGGTTGCGTGGGATCCCCGTTTTCATTATCGGTAGACAGGAGAAAATGTCGAGTTTTTGTTTCCATGTCAAGGAAGAGTATCAGATTTAGCCGAGGAGATTTATTTTTCTTCGACCGGTTTCCTGAGTTGCGTGAATGGAAGTAAAAATATTGTTTCATAATTCCAAACCTCCGTAAAAATTGGTCTCATTGTACAGAAAATAATCGTTCATACTTGAATGAAAATTTCTGCCTTGAACGCTTTTGTCGTGAAATTATCTGGAAAATTTCTCTGCGCGGTTATTTTCATTTCTGGGCTTTTAATCCAGTTTATGAACGTACAAAGCCAATTAGTTTTTGTCAAACCATCGTTATATGCATAAGTCTATTGTTTCTATAAAAGGCTTGTGCTGGAAATGATGCAGGAAGCGCAATTACGCCAATTTTTCTCACCAGCAAATATGTGCCATAGAAACGCCGCATTTCGGCCACTTTTTTTCACTTTTCTTTTGCAATCCTTCGAAGAAGAAAAACGACAATTTCCATCACTGCCTTTCTGCATAAATAATCGCCGATTTTAAAATATTTTCTTCATCAATGACACTCCTCCCGAAAACACATTTTTAAAGTGAGGTAAATTAAATCTGCAAAAAGGCACAGTATTCAGAATCAATGCCGAAGCAAATTTTTGAACTTTTGTGATTCATGTGAAGGGTCTTTTCATCTGCTTTGTTTGTGAAACCTTATTACTGTATCACATGTTTTAAAAAATCCTTTTCTGGACAGCAACTTCATACATACAACTTCATTCCGGAATATGCTTTATTTCAGCTCCCTGGAAAAATTAACATTATTAGCAATTGTGGGGACTAAAAATAAAAAAAATTCCTGTGGTAGGCCGAATAGATCAATTATAAGTATGTTATCAAATTTCACGTTTGCGAAGAAAATTCAGGTTTTTTTTTTCGTGCGAAATTGGATATTGCAAAAAAAATGTTAAGAAAGCTGTCAAATGTACAGTATTTGTTTCAAGGTATTTTTACTTGAACGAACGTTGCAATTTAAATCAACGCAAGACGTGGTCTATTTTCGGAAACACGATTTGAAAATTTCGATAAATTTAGATCTCGTCTGCAAGGATATTTTTATTGCGATTTAAAATATCCTGGTCAAATAATTTCTTGGGTTAATGCTCGAGGAACTCATCTGTCCTTTTCTCTCTGTGCCACGTAATTCGCTTCTGAAAAAAGTTCAGCTGTATTTTTCAATCATTCCTTTCCTAAGTTTTTAAAAACTCGATTGGACAGCATTTTTTTTTCTTTTTTTCAAGCACCCACGGACTATTTTTCCTGGTAATTCTTCACTCTTCGAGTCGAATCCCATTCATGTCTATTCAGAAACACGTCTCACTCACACGGCCTCCGAAGTCGCACTGAAGAGCATTTGGTCGGTCCGAGTCCATAGTTGCCTCCGAAATAAATTATTTTTTTTTCGCGCTCGCCGGGACACGTGCTGTTGGCATTTTTCTGCGTCGCATCTGGCTGCAGAAAAAAATTAAATAAAATCACGAAGCGACAGAAAACAGTTCACGAAGGCGTTATAAAAATGTGAGGATGAATACCGACCGTATGGCGTCCCTTTTTCCCCGTCCTTGTTTCTCTCACTTCGGAGGAGACGAGCTGAATCTTAAACAGAGTTCCTGGGTTTTCGGTCTTCGACTTGATAGATTCTCGATTTTCCTGGTAATTAAAACGGAAAATATTCCCATCAGGTGCTGTTTAGCCAAAATTAAGAGGATTAATTTATTAGGTCAGTCAGTGGAAATAAATTACATTAAGTTGTATTAGTATTTCTAGTTTTATTGTAAGCGCCCTTAATGTCCGTTTGATGGAAAAGTTATCTGGGCTAATTCACTTCCGGGAGCTAGGAAATCTATTTTAAGCTCATCTATTTCTCTCTGGTCATTAAAATACCCAGGCTTAATATCCAGGGAATCTTCTTAATGTTCTGTCTTCTTAATTTCTGCGATGTTCTCATGCTGATATGAATTTAAATTTATCAGCAAAGATTTTTTGGTTAGTTGGGAAAAAGCATCTCAAAGCGATATCTCCTGTACTGAATTGTCTTTTTTTTCCCGTTTGTCTTTTCGTACGTATGAAGATATGCGTATTAATCACTGAATGTTTTTGAAGATTTCAACTTTTAAAGTGTCGCTAAAGATGTTAAATCGGCAAGAAAACTTGGTTGAGATTTAAAATTGCAAATAAAAACATTCAATTAGCTGGAAAATCCTCGTAATTAATTTTTTCCTCAAAATTTTTTGAATGGTTTTCGATAATAATCGATGTATTAGCGTACTTTCTAATTTCAGGTTAGCACCGACTAAGAACAGTTCACTTACGCACTGAGTTGGAAAAAGCTTCAAATAATTGGAAATACGCTTTCGATTTTACTAATCCCGAAATTGTTCCCAGGGTTTTTTCGAAATATTGAATTTTGTTGAAATTTTCATTTCAATATTATTTAAGCATCCGTCATGTGCCCCATTATTCGAAGGAAGAATAATTGTTTTTGAATATAAAACGTAATCAGGTTTTTTGCTTTGGTTTCGTTTCCTTTCTCGTAATTGAAAGTCGGTATTTTTCCCCTCTTCTAATTGAAATATGATGACGGAAAAAACGGTGATCGAGATTTTGCGAGTAGATCTTGGCTTTAAAAGAAAGGAGGATGAGGAAATGTTCATGGTTCCGAGACGAATGATATTCACTGACGTTCCAGTCCAGAAAGTTTTTCCCTTCCTGGGGCCATTGAAGTATGTTTTTCGTGGTTTAAAAAACCCCTTTTCGAGAGCGAAGAAATTGTTTGACCCGTTTACGCGTTTCGGTGGAATTTCATCCCGGAAAAAATCTTTCACGTTCAGACGATATTCTCGCGAAAACTGCTTTCGAAGTCTTTTTTTTTCCTGATCTTCAAACCTTTTATGAAGTCATTTCGGAATTTCCGCGTGTTTTCTCCCGAATAATCTTCGGAAGCTTTCTTTTCGCGCTAAAATGATGCTGGATGATTGGCCTGAATGGAGATGAAGTTTTTCGTAGTCATGTCCATTTATTCCACTCGCCACTTTTGCGTCATCCAGAATAATTACCTGGACAACGGCTGTAGGAGTTTACGAATCCTCGAGTGTTCCTCACCTTTAGAGAGAGTTCTTATGTGTAGAGGAATTTCCGCAATGCTTTCGGAACAGGTAGAAAGTGTTACGGGACGTAGAAATTCGAAAGCTATTATTTTGATGCTTTATTTTTCAAATCCTTTGACAAGAACAAGATTGTTTTCTCTTGAATTTTGGCTTGCGTAACTGTGCTGTGTGTGTCGTGTGAGACGATGTATTCTCAGATATGAAAATATTTTCATTATTGAAATTGATTTGCAACTCTTCCGCCTTGCGAGTACAAGAACCCTTTCATTGCTGTTTTCACACTAGAGTTACTCCGGATCAAGGTTCGTGTTCAAGCCTAACGAGGAAGTGTGGCGAAAAGTTTATTTCTTATTCTGATGATTTTCGAAACTTCTTTCCAACGCGTTATTCTTCAAATATTGCAGACCACCGATCCGGTCGAACTCTCTTCGCAGACCAATTTTCTTAGCTAGTAAAGGCTGTAAATCTAATTGGAACTACGACAAAAAAATTGAGCGTAGAAAGCTATGGGTTATTTTTCAACGAGAAGTGATTCTACCGGAAAAGTGTGCAGAAAATTTTGCCGTTTTTGTATCGAATACTGTTTTTATTCGAATACATTTGTAATAATACCTGTAGCCGTAAACTTTTGCGGCACGTGAGAGAACAAAGTTGAGCCGAAACTAACTTCCGTGCCAACTTTTTGACGCGAAGATATTTTGCTGAGCCAGTTTGGAAAACTTTCTTTTTAAAATTTTGAAGGAATTTTAAAAAAGTTAGCTTTCTTTGCCCAAAAACTGAAGACGTTAACAGGATTCTGAATCTTAACTGGAGGATAGGGTTGATTTGCCCAATTATTTTTTTTCGCTTCCTTTCAAAAAGCATCAGGTTGCATTTTTATTGCATATATCTTTCTTGGGCCACAAAATAATCGCCAAATGCCTCTAGAAAATTTGAGTTATGGAGGTTTTATAGAGGAAAGGCCTTTGATTAGGAAGGTTTCTAGTGCAGTAGTACATTGTTTCTAAGAGAATTCAGACAGGGACTAGAAAAAAATTAAAAATAGGGTGGTTTACGTTATCGAGGCCATGTAATTGAAACACAAAATTTTCCACAAGGAATAATAATTTGGTAATTATTTTTTTCTGTAAAGTTGTGAGTTCGGCCCTGATTGACGTCGGTGGAATGAGCTCTTGATACCGTACTGTTTTTCGAGAAAAAAATTTCCCGCAGCAAATTGCAGCCTCATAATCGAGGCCGCTATGCAAAACGAGTGGCAGATGACTGGCGCATTGCTCCAGATTTCCTTCTTGCTTCTTTTTTTCAATATTTTTTTCAGAAGAAATTTAGAGAGCGAATAGCGAAGAAGTTTTCCTGTGGTCGAGCAGCACATGTCGACAAGCGTGAGCAATCAGGGGCATATGGCCTTGCCTGGTGGGTCTGAGGGCATGGCTGTGATCTTCGCAGATGTTACCGCCTGCGGGCATTAAATTTTTCTCATCATCAAATCCCGTAGGAAGGGGTTGATGAACGCAGAAACAAAACACCTTCTTATTTTCCAAATGAGGTCATGGACATTGACGCTGGTCCCAGATCCAATTCATCCAATGACGATCATATCAAGTGCGGTCTGTCGAAAAAATAAGTTGGTCTTAATCATTTTCTATCGAAAGGGGTAATCGCTTCTGGCTTGGGTGATCGTAAATCATCGTGAATGCGCGCTATTTTCCCGAATTCTCTCCTGGTTGCTGAAAGTTTTATTGTACTATTCATCATGCATTTTTCTTTCTTTTGAAAGTGTCGCTATTGTCCCTGGTGGTCTTGGGTGAGCGAGCAAGCGGTCCACTATATTCGTGCTCGAGATAATTACTAGCCCTCGGGGCGACTAGTCAGTCTTCCGCTGAACCGCGGAATGTGTTGATGATGCCGCCGCGAACGACGTCAAATCGAGGGCTGAACTTCCGTCCACGCAGTATCACATTCGGCTTGATGAACATTCTTTGAAGATAGAAAGAACTACAGTAAAAAAAAAAAAAAAAAAAAAAGAAGGAAGAAAAATGAGCTAAGCAGATGGATACAGAAAGCGTATGTAACTTTAGACTGGGTACTCTGAAAGTTGAAGGCTGTTGAACAAGCCTTGGTTGTCACGGAAAGTTCTGATGAATTTTCAAGTGAAATATTTGAGAGAGTTTTGTGCAAGTCCTGGCGTGTGGCTGATTTTACTGGAGATACTGTGATTAGCGCGAATCAATGATTAGCAATATATTTCGGTGGAAAGTTTAAGGAATGTTGTGGGAAAACCGTGTTCATCTTTTAGAGTTTTATGTGAAAATGATTCATTTCCTATTTGGGAAGACCTTAAATTCATTCATTCTTTTGAAAATAAAAAGTGGCTAACATCGATTTTCTAGAAACACTCGTTGGCAAAATGCTCATGCGTACGTTTCAATTATTTGAAACAGAAATATTTTGTTACCAATAGAAAGCTCAGAACCATCTGTGCGCACAAAATTTATTTGCCTCTCTGAAAAAAAATAGTGAATCCACTCTTATGATGAGTATTCCTGAGACATTGACAACTTGTTGCAGACCAATATTTCTTGCAACAACAAAAAATAATTGAAGAAAATTTACTTGCTTTCTTGTTCAACTCCTACAAGTTCCCGGAAAATGGCTGTGCAATTCGATGAAATATGCTGATCAAGTTTCAACCGATATTTTTGAAAATATTTTCCAGGAAAATAAAAATTTCCGTGCCAACGATGATTAAATACGAAAAAATCGAGGTAGGATGAAGTACATTTTTGTGGGTGACCTCCTCTATGGTTCACTGATGGAAAACATTGAAAAAATAATTCTGCAAATACTTGCGAGCGTCATTCTTCTAGTTATGTATAATCTTAATTTTGTGGTAAGGATTCTCAAATTCTTTCGTTTGCTTTCACTAGGAATTCCCTGCGATCATTCAAAGGTACTTCTCTTTCTCTCAACATCTGTATTCACAGTTAGCACTTTTTCCCTAGATTTATTTATGTATTTACTTTAAGAGTAAAATATTTTTAAAGGGTATCTTCTGTTCCTCCAAGTTGTAAATGGGTATGAAATTTTGTTCAGATTTTCAATTTACGGTCGAACCTTGTGCCAGACTTCAAGTGACCAGCAAATATAAATTCGAGTTGAAGATGTTTGGAGTCAGAGAAGTAAGCTTTTTTTGAGGAAAGAAATACGAATTGCAGGAAATTGTATTGGTGATATTCTGCCTCAAATTGCTTCTTCAATGAGTTGAGAGGGTACTGAAGTTTGAGAGAATGGTTCATTTGCCCAATGAGTCTTGGATTTTTTTTTAAACGCATCGAGTGACATTTTCATTTCTTTTAATTTTTCTGCGTAAATAAAATGATGAAGGCCACCAACAAATTCGGCGCACGGAAATTCGAGGGGGGAAGCCTCCGACTTGAAGGGGTTCTTAACGCATTAATTCTAAGAGAATTCCGACTGGAATATGAAAAACTCGACTTAGTGAGTTTTGAGTCATCTAGATTCTAGATGCATCAGTATTAGTGTTCTTCGTGAATGCCCCCTTTTTTGAGTCTAATACGTAGGAGGAAAAAAGGCGGAGCGTTCTTTTCTTGAATGACGGCTCGTGCAACAGTTTGCGGACAGTGAAAGCGGACGCTTTGATGAGCAACAGCAGTAGCAGCAGAAACTGCTGCTGCTGCTTTTGCTATTGCGGGTGAAAGCGATGGGCGACCTGGGGATGCGTAGGAAACCCAAGGAATTGGCCGCAAATTCAGAGGCATTACGATTTTATTTCATTTTTTTTGGCTCGTTTCTCTACCTATGATCTCCTTTTCACTATTTTCTCGTGCTATGATTTTTGTTTTCATTTTTGATTGTAGCATTGGTCGGCTGGGTGATCGACCAGCGTGTAAGCAGCATTGAATGAGGGATTCATGCTCTGATTTCTTTTCTCCCGTGGTGGCAATGAAATAGACGATGCGATTTTTGTTTTTTCCTGGGAAGGAAACTGGTGATTTTGACGCGAGGAATTCCGCGAATTTGCTCTTCTCTTCAATTTCGTTCGCGGTAAATTGGTTTTTGTGGCGACTTTCTGTTTCATCTTGTGATTTTTTCGCGGAAAATGCTAGAATTAGGTTCATTGAGGGAGTTTTTTTCGTTCAACGAATGCGCGAGTGTTTTCGAAATTTTCGAATAATTACACTATCGTAACTAAATGTTTAAAATATTTTTTATTCTTGGAATACGCCAAATTTTTTAAACTTTCAAATAGTGGACGTTACTTCAATTTGAAATGCCTCCAGTGGCTATTTATATGTCTGCACTATCATTCTTCTAGGCTAGGGGATGACGCAAAAATATGGATCAATTTTAGGAAAATTTTGACGAAGTTATTCAAATCTGGCGAAAGCTTCCAACTGTAAATTTTTTCATACGACTCGTTGAACAGCTGAGACGCTGTGAAGAGTGAGTAAGAAATCAGCGGGAATCAATGTTCAGCTTTCGATTCATGAATTCAAAAAGTGCACGAGAGCCAGTTTTAATCAAATTGGCCTAAATTTTTGAACTTAATTTTTATCTAATATCGATTTTCGGTGGGAAACCGTGCGTGAAGTTCAGCGACTTCGAAGCTTTTGGCGATTTCATTTTTGACTGATGCGCCTGAAATTATCCGCGTGAGGAGAAATTTTGCAGTGAGTGAAAGTCATTGTTTATGAATCCCAATCGAAAAATTTTCAGCAAAAGCAATTTTCCAAAAATGTAAGCGTTAAAAAAAATCAATACAAATTTCAACTGGTGTTCGTGAAAGTGGACAGAATGAGATATGTCGGGTCTTTTCGACTTTTCTTGAGCCATTGTGAAGCTAGATTTTTCCTTCTATCATCGGAAGGTGGATACTTATGTCAGGCATTGTTTCCTTGGAAAAGCAGAAAGGGCGGTTCTTAGAAGAATTTAACTACTTATTATATATTTTTTACCTTCTGCAGAATCATCAGCATTCGCAACATGGAGTACTGTATTACAGTATAAAATAACTTACTCTACTTTGAAGCTTCCAAGTTCCAACCCCATGAACAAATTTGAAAAGTGTAATATGAAAAAGTATTTGATGAATGTCAAAGTTAGTCTGCGATTTTTGAAACCACCGGAATGGGGTAGTAATAACAAGCCAGAATTATTTTTTGTGTGTGACCTTTTCAGCCGCTCATTCCAAAGGTTTTTGTTTCGCTGACATATTCGGATCAGACCTCTTTTGTCCCCCTCAATTTACATGTTTTAAAAGCCTTTGGGTGATCATTAATGTTGCTTTTTTTATCTCTCGCCATTGTTCCTCCCTTCATTTCGTATACGACAATCTTCTCACTGGAAACTCTTTTGCGGCGGATGACGATTCAAAAGCTGCATTGATCATCCCGAGTCGGCTTTTAAGTTGTCTCTCGCTTGAAAACCCCGTGTTGAGCGAGTAAGAAAAGTGGATCCGTGGCCTATTTAATTGAACGTTTCCGGTCGACGACTTCGGCAGTACTTCAATCGATCGCGTTTTGCGCAGAATCACGTTCTCAGGTGATACTGTTATGTTTGTTTTTTTTTTTTCCTCATTGGAGACACAAAAAATCGGTGGACCGTGGCGAAACTGAAGTAGCTTGCATGAGACGGAGTTTATTTCGTTGTAGTCATGAGGAGTAGAGAAAGAAAAAAAGAGAAGGTATTTTCTTGAATTGATCCTTCGCGTGTCGATTTATGACAGCTTTCCGTGGGAACAGTTTTGTCTGGACGCTGGGGCTAAGAGATATAGGCTATGAAATTCATATTTTGTGGTCGGGGAGAAAACATGGTTATTTGTTTTGGTTGAATGCGAGGGACTTGCGGTGTATTTCGAGTTAATAGTCTATTTTGAGAAAGGGAATGGTTGCTTGCTGTTTGACGTTTACATTTTTGTAGTCTCGTAAATTGGTGTTCATAATTCAGCCTAGCTGAGGTTTGATTTAAGACGCTGACTGTGAGGGAATGCTTTTTCGATCATCCGGTTTTTTTTTTTGTCTCTGGAAAATGATGTTGACTTGTGCGACAGGATTTTTTTTTATGCGGAAGAGATATTATTTCCGTGTCTGTTGAGTGTTTGGATCATTTTCCTCATTTCTTCACTAGTTGAAGCTTTCTTCGGAATCTAAATTACAGTTGAAACCTCTTGAAGATGACCAGGAAAATATTCGATTTTGGGAAGCGAGCATTTTTGTTGAGGGAAAGAAAGAGTAATTGCAGGATATTCTAATTGCTTATTTAATAATTTTACAGGATGCTGGATGTCGAGGCAAGAATGAATTTGCCCAATTATTCTTTTACTTTGTTTCAAAACGTATGAGGTTAGATTTTAATGGTTTTCTCTTTCTTGTGTCAATAAAATAATAGCCAAAAGGCCTCTAGAAAATTCGAATGATGGAGATTCGAAGGGGAAATCCTTCGGGTTAGCGACATTCGTAATTGATTCTGAGGGAATTCAGACATGGACTTGAAAAAATTCTAAATGAGGAGGTTCGAGTGTACATATTTCGTGTTAGGACTTCGAGTCGAATTTTCAAAAATCCCGGGAGGAGTTTTATTTGTACGAATATCGAGTCTCCTTCGAATTCAATACAGTCGAATGATCCTGTTGTCTGCTGCAGAAAAAAAGCTCGAATAATTATTATTTCTTATCATTCAGCGATAAAAGAAGTTACTGCGCTTCCTTACGATGGTATATTTCATTATAGCAGTTCACAGAATACTAAACGTCATAGTTATTTTCGAAAGTATCTTTCTCTGTCTGATGGTCGTAATTTTTCAAAATTGAATTTCAACAAGCAGGAAAATCCTTAAATTCAATATGTTTTGCGGAAATTTCGAATACCTTAACCACGACATGAAAGCCATGAAGCTGAAAAATGAAAGCCTACGACGGTCAATTTTGCTTGAAATTTACTCTGGACTGGAACAATGCTCGAAAGCTGACGTAAAATACTTGACGGTCTTGAAAGGAATAAAAAGCTTGCCGCCGTAATTCTAGGCGTCGGATCGAATTTCCATTCATATCCCGGAAATTCGCCAAATATGAACTGCACTTCTGGAAATCATGTGCTTGCGTTCATTTCCTCGTGCTCGTATTTCGCTGCAAAATGCATGACGCCAAATCAAGTGGTTGGGGTTTTTGCTTTGTCATTTCTTGTCTGAGAAGAGGGTTTGAGAATTTCTGTCGACTTTTTCTGAATTATCTGCCCTTTTTTAACATTGGATCAAATGCTTATTTTTACGGAGAAGAATTTTTTTGCATTGATTCTGAAGTCGCTAAACATATGATTCGACGCTAGAAAATTTTAGAAGTCTATTTTTATAGGAGATGGTTCTTCTAAAGATTTTTAAAGATGAGAGTGATTCGGGAGACTTTTGATTGAACCCTCGTGCAGAATTTTGAGTTTCACGGAAGCGCATCAACGTTGCCTCGGGCGGTATATTTTATTTTTTTAACCCATCTTTTTCTCTGTCTCTCTCTCTTTTTTCTATGGTCCAGATACTTCCTTTACGAGAATCTCATATTGTTGCGAGGCTTCGGGAAGTGGACGAAAAGTTGGATCATTTCTGGAAAGAGGCCCAGGAAGCGCTGCTCGTGGGAATTCACAAGCGGAACAGAGAATGTGCCGAGAGCAAATCCAAGTTCCAGGTGAGGAAATTCCGGTGTTTCGATTACGTTTCCGCACGATTTAGATTTCTAAGATGTGTTTTTTTTTCTAAAAAAAAAGAAAAAGTAGAAGAGAGAAAATGCGCGAAAGAATAACGCGTGTGAGGTTTCGTGTTTGTGGCTCATTTCGGTGCAGAAACATGGTTCATCTGCTGTTTCGTCTGTGTCTTTTTACATGGAATGAGCAGATGGTGGGGTTTTCTGCCTCGATTTGTTGATTTGCTGGCCCACTAACTTGTTCAGTCTGCGGAAGTGACGAATTTGGATGATGGCATCGAATTACTAATGATTCCAACGTATAAAATATGCACTAAATTTTATCGGAAACCAAGGTATTCATCCTTTCGTAAATTTGAAATGACCCGAAAATGTAAGTTTGTTTATCTTATTTTTTTCTTCCATTAAAAAGGGTTTAGTGAAACAAATATTTATTGGAATAGAAAGCAGCTGTAAGATTAATTTTTTGGGCCATTTCCGAGGGACTATTCAGAAGTTTCGTCTGTACATTGAAGTAAATGTCTTCAGCTACTCACATTATCGATCAAGACCACGTTACAATTGTATTAATTAGCCTTTGCTCATTTCTCAAAAATTTTCATCGTGCAGAGATCTGATTTTCTAAACTGCATGCTAGCTAATCGACATTCATTGACATAGATTTCTGGTAATTTTGAATTTCAGAAGCGGGACTTCGCCTCTAAGCTGATTTTTAAATTATTTAAATTATTTTTAATGACGAAGTGCGTGAAATTTGATGGAACGCACAACTGTGGCTTTTAAAATCAATATCCGCTTAGTGAATGAGTGCAAGTTTCTGAAATTCAAATCAAACGGGATGATTCAAACTACTGTATAACCTGAGAATAATGGTGCCATTAGAAAAATCGAAAAATTCATTTCCGTCTTGATATTTCCAATTCAACAAGGAAAGCGCAATTTCGCGTAAGTCATGAACGGATCCTCGTGTAATTGATTTGTGTTAATAAAAGACGCCCTGATAAATTCGTTTCTGCTTTTAAATTTCAGTCAAGCATCGTATTCGCCTACAAGGGTCGTGTTTCGGAAGAGAGGACCCGACTTGGACGAGTTTTACTGTCGCAAAAAGTGCAGTC